GAATAATCCTTACGGCTCAGATCTCCGGTCCTTGCAGATTCTACACTCATCAACTGCCAATCCACGATCGCCGCCGTCGTTACTCCCTACCCATGGGTTTGGGTCGGGCTATCACGATGCCTCCTATCCGCTGATGACCCCCCACGACACGCATCCAGCCTCAATCGGTCAGTTCCGTATCATCGGCTCGTCGACGGAGCAGCACTCGTCGTCTGCTCCCTTCCTGGGCCTCTCGCCGCCGCCTCCTCCTCATCCTCCTCCAGCAGCTGCGAGTGCTGTTGGGCCGCCGCAGTCCCCGGCCTGGCTGCCTCTCCCTTCTCCGTCCCCGGCCAATTTTCCCGCCTCGTTTAGCATGCCGTCGTTTCCTTCTGCTTCCTTGTCGTTACGATACCCCGTGCTGCAGCCGGTGTTGCCGCATATTGTCTCCATTCTCCCTCAGTCCCTGGCGTGTGATCTGCTGGACGGGTACTTTACCAGCTCTTCCTCCTCGCATCTCTCCCCGTTGTCCCCCTACGTCGTCGGGTACGTCTTCCGCAAACAATCCTTCCTCCACCCGACAAAACCGCGGGTCTGCAGCCCGGCGCTGCTGGCCAGCATGCTCTGGGTCGCTGCGCAGACCAGCGATGCTGCCTTTCTGACCTCTCCGCCCTCGGCGCGGGGTCGCGTGTGCCAGAAGCTTCTCGAGGTCACTGTCAGCCTGCTACGGCCGCTGATTCACGGTCCGGCCCCCGGTGAGACCTCGCCCAACTACGCTGCCAACATGGTCATCAACGGTGTCGCCCTCGGTGGGTTTGGTGTCTCCATGGACCAGCTGGGTGCCCAGAGCAGTGCCGCCGCCGCCGTCGACGACATCTCCACCTACGTCCACCTGGCCACCGTCGTCTCCGCCAGCGAGTACAAGGCCGCCAGTCTGCGCTGGTGGGCTGCAGCCTGGTCTCTTGCCCGCGAGCTCAAGCTCGGCCGCGAACTGCCTCCGAATCGACCGCAGCTCTCTCGGGCGGATACCGACCGCGATCTCGTCGGTGACCCGGAGGGAGAACCTTCCCAGCGTCATCATCATCAAAACTACCATCACCAACACCACCACCACCCTAGTCATCATGGTGGTGGTTCTAGTGGCGTCCATTTCACCGAGGAGGAACGCGAGGAACGACGGCGGATCTGGTGGTTGTTGTATACCATGGACCGGCACCTGGCGCTGTGCTACAACCGGCCTCTGACTCTGTTGGATCAGGAGTGTGAGGGTCTACTACAGCCACTCAACGACGATCTATGGCAGGCGGGCGACTTCCCTTCCTCCTCTGCATCGTCTTCATCGTCGCCGTCCTCCATCGCGGCGGCAGCGGCGGCAGCAGTCCACAACGGCTACCGCCGCACCGGGCCCACCTACGAATGCACCGGCCACAGCGTGTTCGGCTATTTCTTACCCCTGATGACGATCCTGGGCGGGATCGTCGATCTGCAGCATGCGCGCAACCACCCGCGCTTCGGGGCGTCGTTCATCCACAACCGCGGCGAATGGAACAGCCATGCCGTAGAGATCACCCGCCAGCTGGACGTATACGCGCAGAGCCTGAAGGACTTCGAATCACGGTACACAGCCGCAGCCGCAGCTGCAGCCGTAGCAGCCGCAGCATCATCCGATTCCGACGTGGCCATGGACAACACCACCATCGACCACGTCAGCCCGCCCTCCGGCAGGTCAACCAGCACGACGGGGTCCCGCGTGAGCGAGGCAATCGTGCATACGCGCATGGTAGTCGCGTACGGCACCCACATCATGCACGTCCTCCACATCCTCCTCGCAGGCAAATGGGACCCGATCAGTCTACTAGACGATACTGATTTGTGGATCTCCTCCGACTCCTTCATCACGGCAATGGGCCACGCCGTCAGCGCCGCCGAGGCCGCCGCCGATATCCTCGAATACGACCCGGACCTAAGCTTCATGCCCTTCTTCTTCGGCATCTACTTGCTCCAGGGCAGTTTCCTTTTACTCCTCACGGCTGATAAGCTGCAGGGCGACGCTAGCCCGAGCGTCGTGCGAGCCTGTGAGACTGTTGTCCGCGCTCATGAAGCGTGCGTCGTCACCCTCAACACCGAATATCAGGTATTCTCTCTTTCCATATATGTTAGATGTATACTTACTGTTTTTTTTTTTTTTTTTTAGAGAAACTTCCGCAAGGTGATGCGGTCAGCCCTTGCTCAAGTCCGTGGTCGTATCCCCGAGGACTTTGGCGAACAGCAGCAGCGGCGTCGTGAGGTGCTGGCGCTGTATCGTTGGACAGGAGATGGCAGTGGGCTTGCTTTATGACTGTATATTATACCTGTCTATCCATCTATACTTTCTGTCTATACTTGACTACATTATATACCCTGTTCATGTCTCAGTAACTACGTCAGCTTAGTAATAATGCATAAGATAAGACAATTACCGAGGTAGTTCTTCGTACTTATCTACTTACTCTACAGAGTACTTACCATGAAACTAAGACAAATAAGACAGATAAAGCCAAGAAACGTCCAGTCAAGACGGTACAGCATCCCCCCCGCCTACCTGCTAGACGACGGGCGTGTGTCTGATCGGCGCGACGACCGCGAAAGTGAACGTTATCGCGCCGCATCGGGGCGAGGAGCCCTGCATCCAGGGGTTCCACGGGAGTGGCTCGGTGTTTTTTTCGGGGTGTAACCTGCGCTGTGTTTTTTGTCAAAACCATGCATGTATAGGCCTGTCTACTTGAAAAGCTGGGAGTGCTGATTGATTGGATAGGAAATTTCTCATCAACGGAAGGGCTTCGATCTCACACCCGAAGAACTGGCAGATTGGTATCTGAAGCTCCAGTCTATCGGCCACGTCCACAATATCAACCTGGTGACTCCCGAACACGTCGTGCCGCAGGTTGTTCTGTCGATTCTGGCGGCGCGGGAGATGGGCCTCTCGGTCCCGATCATCTATAACACCTCGTCGTTCGATTCGGTGGACTCGCTCACCCTCCTCGACGGGCTCGTGGACATCTACCTTGCGGATTTCAAGGTGTGGGAGGCCGCCACTTCGCGCCGTCTGCTCAAGGCACACGATTACGCAGAGACAGCCCGCGAGAGTATCAGGATCATGCACGCACAGGTGGGCGATCTGAGCTTCACTTCCGACGGGATTGCCAAGCGCGGCGTCTTACTCCGCCACCTCGTCATGCCGGGTCTAGAAGAGGAGGGCCGCCAGATCATGCGCTGGCTCGCGGGCAATGTCTCCCCAGATCTGTACGTGCATATCATGGAGCAGTACCGGCCGGATGCACATGTAGGGAAGAAACGACGCAGCAACAGAACAGGCGAGGAGACCACCAGGTATAAAGAGATCAATCGCGCGGTGAGGGAGGACGAGATTGTCGGTGTTAAAGCCGCGGCTGTTAAGGCGGGGCTTTGGCGTTTCTGTGAGCCTGACGAGAGGCCTTTTCATTTATAGTCTCCTGGGCATCCTAGGTAGTAAGCTCTTGTCAGGAGAACTTCAGACGTTGAATCTTAGCCTTTATAAGTCAGCCTCTTAAACCATTTGATAGCATTGTAGACACCTTTCATGGTAGGGGCTAGAGAATCACAGAATCGTCCTGAATCTCTCTAACTGACTGAATCAGAACTCAGCCAGGAGGAGAAGACAGTAGAAGACAGGAAAAGAAGACAGTAAAAAGGAGGCAGTAGACGGTGTTTTGGACTGCTTAGTCATCACTGTATCCACTGCAGCTCAGCTTCAAACGACATGACAACTTCAGGCAGCTCCAAGATCAAGAGAGTCGTCTCAGGGCTGGTCTCCGCCTCTGTCCGAAACCATGAAGCCCGTGATTGCAATCCCCGCCATCGCCGCCCTCCTCTATCGCGCCTGGTCGCGCCGGTCCCTGACGCCCCTCGGCCTTGTCGTGGCGGGTCTGACGGCCAGCGCCCACGCGGTGCACCCTTGGTCGGCCCCCTTTGCCCTGCTGGGTGTCTTTTATCTGGGTGGCTCGCGAGTGACTCGTGTCAAGGAAGGGGTCAAGGCTCGCTTGACTCTCTCTGCAACCGGGGCGGAGGGAGGAGAGGGGCCACGCACGCATATCCAGGTGCTGGCAAACTCGATCGTTGCGACGGGCCTCATTCTGCTGCATGCCCGGCTGTTCTTTTTATACGGCTCATCCAGTGATCTTGCTCTGGATTTCTTTTCGTTTCAGGGACCTCATACGGCGGGAGACCTGTTGACGGTGGGGATAGTAGCGTAAGGCTTCCAAGTCACTATTAGTTTATCTTCTACCCCTCGTTGACGTGAAACTTAAGGAACTATGCCGCCGTTGCTGCCGATACCTTCTCCTCCGAACTCGGTATCCTATCGAAATCGAGCCCTCGTCTCATCACTTCGCCAACCCTTCGGGTCGTCCCCCCTGGCACCAACGGCGGCGTCACCTTGACCGGTTTGTTGGCCGGCGCGCTTGGTGCGGCTCTCATCGGCCTCACCTCCGCGATCCTTATACCTTTTTCTCCCGAAAGTAGCAGCCTGGTCACTCGAGCTCAGTTCACCCTCTTCGTGACCATCTGGGGCACTCTGGGTAGTCTCCTTGACAGTGTGCTCGGTGGGTTACTGCAGGCTAGTGTGGTAGATAAGCGGTCGGGCAAGATTGTTGAGGGCAGTGGTGGGAAGAAGGTAGGTCATATATATATATATATATATATGCACATAAATGCACGAACACAGGATCTCTAAACTAATGGTTAGGTCCTCATCCACCCGTCCTCCACCAAGGCTGCCGGCACGGCAGATGTAACCAGCACCGCTACCGCTACTCAGCTCCGCGCTACTGAAGCGATCGCCAACACGGCTGCCCTGAAGGGATCTCGCATCACAGGAACCTCTGCCGCAGGGCAGCCGGCCCGGCCGCATGAGGAGGCGCATGAGAGCCGGCGGGTTGAGAGCGGCGCCGACTTGCTGGACAATAATGGCGTCAACGTCCTGATGGCTGCGATCATGAGTTTTGGCGCAATCGGCGTCACCAGTTGGCTCTGGGAGGTTCCAATTGGTGATATTTTGGCTTGATCTATAGTTCATGAATAAGAAGGCCTTTGCTTCTCAGTTTTATTCTCTACTAATCTCTACTATGTGTCTGGGTCAAAGCATTACCTAAACCCGCCATTTCGCCTTGTTGAAATCAGGAGAAGTGCTTTACTTCATCTTCAGGCAGAACTCTTTTCTTCCTGTTCCGATTCAACCATTTCAACGCGAAGGTTACATCAACTGCCAAAGGCAGGCTGGATCCCATGCGACAAGTTCACACTAGGAGAAATTTTTCCTTAAAGGAGCCAAGAGACTGTCTTTTTGTGCTGTTTCTGGCTTGTGGCGTCTATTTGCTTCTCCAAGTTGTGTCCATGTCCGTGCCGACGTTTTTGTTTCGGCTCAGATATAGCAGTTCTCTGAGCAGCCTTCGAGCTGGAATGGACATGACATCTTTTCGACCGGGGGCCGAATTTTCTCAATTTAATCCGCAAGGCCGACAGGGACTTCTGGCATCTTTTCTCCCGAGAAGGAGTATGGGACTTCCATGTCTCCACGTATCTCTGCAGATCGGTGTTGTCGACTTGAACTCCCCTGTCCACCCCCGCCACATCTATCATCTCTGACATGCCGGAAGTTTCGGTGCCGGCCAGAGGAAGAATGTCGGTACACTGCTTCCATCCCGTCACGGAACCAGGATACAGCAGAGTCGGGTCCTCGCAAACCAGCCCGGCAGTCTCCCACTCCGTGATGTCCGACCGGGTAGCTTCCAGATAACTCGCGACAAAGTCTCCCTCATAGCAGTCGTCGACGCACGGCGCCGCGGCCAAGAAATGGACGTGCGCACCATCGATGTCGTTGCGGGCGTACGCAACACGGCCCAGCCAGTAGTGACAGCGGCCGATCAGGGTCGGATATCCCTTGTCCTGGGCAACAGCCAGCTGCGAAGTGATCAAAGCCTCGGCCTCGTTGAGACGATCGGCGTCGAAGAACTCCTTTGCCTTGAGCAGGTTGGTGATTATCTCCGTGCGGTCCACTGCTATGATCGCCAGTCGCAAACTATCGAGATAACTCATTGCCGGAGGAGCCAGGCCTCGTTCCCACCACGCACTACCGGGGATGATGGCGCAGATTCCACTATCTATAGCAGTCGCGCGAATCGCCACCTCTGGATTAGCACGTGCTGGCAGGGTGCTCTGGGCGGCAATTACAGAAGTGCAGTCCTCAGAAGTAGTGTTCCAGGTACTCGCTGCTGAAGCGGTACCAAGAAAGAAAGCATGTTCCAGAAGAGCAAGGATGTCTGTGGAAGAAGGCAGTTCCGCAGACGTAAAGTCCGGGGAAGGCGGCATATCCGGAAGAAACACGTCTTCCATCGGAGAAAACAATCGGAGGGCCTCTACCGAGGGAAGATCAGGAAGCTCCGACATGTCCCATTCCAGCGGCATTGTTGGCATCGAACCGGCCTCTGCAAAATGGGTAAGCTCCGGCAAAAGAGGAGGATTCATCATCACCGTCGTGAAAGCAACTCCTGACATCTCGCTCGGCCACGAAGACAGCCAATAATCTGGAGCATCCCCCAGCTGTTCGTCCATGTCGTACGTACTACCGATCTCGCCTGGAGGTGTCATGGGGGGAGACCGTGGCAGTCTCGGGGCTTCAAAATCGTTGTATCGCCATCGATCTTGCATCCTGGGCCTGTCACTTCCTCCGGGGGCCACGCGTTTGAATTCCATGGGTGATCGAGGTCCAAAAAGGGATAGACAGGAAGGAAGTGATGAGGAGAGGAAAGGCATCTATAAAAGCCAACGAATGGGCCTAGGGCTGGGTTTCCTATAGATTCAACAATGGCTGGTGTAGGTTCTATATAGAATCACTAGGGTCTCCCTGGTAGGACATTGAAATTGCCTGGCCAGCGTGAATCATGATCTGCCACAGTAAACTATGGATTGGGTTTCGGCTATTCTAAATACAAGAACATCCAGCTTCTCTACAGATTACAACAAAGCCATTGTTGAATAGTTACACCGGCCACTATATTAGATCAGACAGTACTGAATCTGCCTGACGAGCAATGTAATCTATACATCTAAGCTGGCTGACTCACTACACCTATTATACTAGATCCTTTTACCTGAATTGGTCCAAAGGGATAATTTGAAAAGCAAAAGAAATGGTCTATTTCATGGTTATAATTCTATAAGCCTCGCCCTATCAAGCGCCAAAAGAACAGGTAGTAGTAGTAGAAGTAGTAGTAGTAATAGTACAAGGGAACAGCAGAAAGGATAGAAGTACAAAGAGTACCTTTGACAATGCATCAGATCTCCCGGACATTTTCAAAAGCCGGGCCTGAATGGACTGACCCTTGCGACTGCGGCGCAGAAGCCCAGTCGGCCTTTTTCGATTCAGCCGAGAACGGGGATGCCGAGTAAGTCCCGCTGGATGGCTGCACCCCTTCCTCGGCACAGCGGTTAACAGTCTCTTTCTGGAGGTCCCTAGCTCTATCATGGTAGCCCGGGGTGTGTAAGGCACGAGCAAATGCCCAGTATGCAGCTTGTAATTCTCCAGTGGCTAGCCAGTTGCATCCTTGAATGAATCGGGCAATCCCAGCTAGCTCCTTGATCATCGAAGGCCGAGAGAAGTCAGGCTCGTTGAGCATTTCGATCACAACCTCGAGCTGTTTTTCTGACTCGTGATATCGCTGGCAGCTGTGGTAGACGGCAGAGAGGAATAGACGACAGCGCAATTTGTTCACAACGTCAGTCTTCCTGCGAGTGGCAAGCAACCGAAATGCGGCGTTGATTGCCCGTTGTGTCTGGCCCTGTACCCACAGTCTCTCTAACTCTTCCAGATAGTTGAAGGTGTCTGCAGAACACAGCCAGATGCCGGCAATCCACGAGTGGTAACGATGAGTTTCCACTGGGGGCTTCTCGTTGTTGTTGCCCAAGTGCTGCTTCTCCGGGGTTTTCTGTCTGCGCTTCTTCAACATGTGTGACTGTGTCTGCAGCAGAAGGAAATCGTACTCCGCTATCTGAGACTGTAGCATTTTTATGGTTTCCAGAGCATATTTCAATTTCAGGTCGAGGTCGTTCCTCTCGTTCACCACCTCATGAAACAGCGCCAGCATCTGCGCGGCTTCGGGTGACCGTTGAGATCGGTTCCTCCAGGGAAACAGGTTGCTCAGCCTGGGAGTCATCTTGTCTGTACTGCTTTTTTTTTAGTAGATAGATAGAATAGTTAGATAAAAAGGATGATATTCATCAAGTGCTGTTATGAGACTTGGAATTCTTCACAAGCTTATATTCATTCCTGGCGGGTTTATTATTAGAGCTTTCTTTGTCCAAAAACAAAGGCCACCAAGACCTTATCTATCGCTCTTGTCGAGGCATTCGGGATAGAGGTTCCTCTTTCATTCATAGCGGCTTGTATGTATTCTCTCTTTGATCTCTTTGATCTCCTCGATCTCATCCTCGACCTGGCCACCGTAGTCGTCCTGAAACAGCCCAGCCAGGGCGTCAGACTGGATCCAAACACAGGGACAAAGATACCACTCGGGGATAAGAAAAAGAAAAAAAGTCCCAGGTCTTACTCCGTACAATAATAGACCGCCATCGCCCTCGACCGAATGGCCCTTCTGCAACGATCCTTGTTCTTGCGTACTCCGTAAACAAAGAGTCGAAGGCCCCCAAAGCCCTCTCGTGTTAGCGGGGCATAAACAAACAGGACAAACAATGCAAACCTGTACTTTGTAGTCAACTGCAGCAAACAGTCCAAACAGCCCCCGCCGGCCCAAAGCGGAAACGCCCTGGTTGGACCATCACACGCAGCTGTTCCTCTCCATCCCTGGCCGAGACCTCACTCCTGTGCGTCATCCAGGCAACATCCACGGTTCTGCGGATATACACACCACTGGCAAGCTGGCAGCTGGTGAGGAATCAAGATGGCCCCACCCGGCTCTGCAACGGATGCGCTCGTTTCTCGGCTCGATCTCGACGTCAGACAGGCTGGAGCGAGACATGCCTGTACCACTCACAGTTACGCATGATTTTCTGCCCGCACGTCGCGGCTGTTCTGTGCGGGGCAATTCAGGAACGAACACGTCTAAGAACCATGCTGCCCAGGGCTCTTTTTTGCCTGTTTCCGCGGCAGCCCTGGAAGTTTATTCGAGGAGGGGGAAAGTTCCTAATGGAAGGGCGATGACGGAGTCTTGTTCGTTTCCTCTCAAGTTGCAGGGGGCTGGCATATAGTTTCTCCGCTGTGAGAGTCGTCTGACCTGTTGTCTTGACCTAGATGCTTTCTCGTTTGTTTTAAAAAGAAGGCCAGCTGCCCAGTCGTTTCTTGGGGCTTCTGTCACCCTTCAATCCAGTTATATTTGATATTTGCTGCGTGTGTGTCTGAATCGTATTCCTTGCAAGATAGAAGGGAAAAGAAAGAATCATGTCTCCTTCAGTTTGCCCCGCGAACAACGTGGAAATCGTTGAGATCCGTCAGGAGAACTTTGAATTCTCCTTGGCGGAGGATATCTATAACGGTATCAAGTTGTCGGAGAATGGGACACGTTCGTTGCCTACAATGCTCCTCTATGACGCCAAAGGTCTCAATCTGTTCGAGGAGATCACTTATCTGGACGAGTACTACTTGACGAACACCGAGATCGAGGTGCTGGAGACTCATGCACAGCGGATCGTCGAGCGCATTCCAGCCAATGCACAATTGGTGGAGCTAGGTAGCGGGTATGTCACACTCTACAATTGATCCAGCACGTTTAAGCTGGCTGACTTTGGTACAGGAATCTTCGTAAGATCGAGATCCTACTCAAGGAATTCGAGAGGACGGAAAAGCATGTCCACTACTACGCTCTGGATCTTTCTCTATCGGAACTAAAGCGTACCTTCTCCGAGATTCCTGTTGATCAGTTCGAGTTTGTGAAACTTCATGGCCTCCACGGGACGTATGCCGATGCCCTCACATGGCTGAGCAATCCTAAGAACCGCACGCGCCCTACTGGCGTAATATCAATGGGTTCTTCTCTGGGAAACTTCAGTCGACCAGATGCCGCCAGCTTCTTACACGGGTTCTCTCGACTTCTGGGCCCGTCGGACTTCATGGTACTGGGTCTTGACGGGTGTAAAAACACTGACAAAGTGTACAAGGCTTACAATGATTCAAGAGGTGTCACGCGACAATTCTATGAGAATGGGCTGGCTCATGCAAATGAGGTTCTGGGATATGAGGCCTTTAAGCCCTCTGAGTGGGAGATCGTGACTCGTTACAATGAAGAAGGAGGTCTACACCAAACCTTTGTCCGCCCAAAATGCGACGTGACTATCAACGGAATCAAGATTAGCAAAGGGGAGAATCTACTTTACGAGGAAGCCTTCAAATACGACCCTGCAGAGCGGGAGTCATTGTGGCGCGATGCGGGTTTGATACATAATGTGGCATTCGGCAACACTTCAGACGACTACCGTAAGCGACCAACCATCCTGTGTGGAGAGACAGACCAAGCGTTCCCTTTTGCCTTTTGAATTTCATTTTTGACGCTGATCGTCTTTTATCCTGAATAGATATCCATATGCTGTCACCGGCTAATCTCGACTTGCCAACAAACCCGTTGGAATATGCAGCAAGCCCCATACCTAGAATGGAGGAGTTCCAGTCACTTTGGACTGCCTGGGATATTGTCACCAAGGGGATGGTGCCTGGTGCAGAATTGCTTTCAAAACCGATCAATCTTCGCAACGTTCTCCTCTTCTATCTAGGACATATCCCCACATTCTCAGGTGAGCCTACACGAAGCATCTTTATCTGTTTGGGCCTGTCCTGACCTGTAGCAGATATCCATGTAACGCGAGCGCTGCGTGGAAAGCTCACGGAGCCAAGACACTACCAACTGATATTTGAGCGTGGCATTGACCCTGATGTGGAGGATCCTGAACAATGTCACGCCCACAGCGAGATTCCAGACCAATGGCCTCCTCTCGTTGAGATTCTGGAGTATCAATGGAAGGTTCGAAGCAGAATCCAATCCGTGCTGCAATCAGGCGGATTGAAACACAACAGAACCCTTGGTGAAGCACTTTGGATCGGGTTCGAGCATGAGATCATGCACCTCGAAACATTCCTCTACATGCTTCTTCAGAGCGATAAAACCCTACCTCCTCCTGGGGTTGATACACCAGACTTTGAGAAGATCTTCCGCGAGGCAAGAAAACAAGCAACGCCTAATCAGTGGTTTGTGGTTCCCGAGCAGACCCTCCTGATCGGCCTCGACGATAAGGATGACGGTGTTATCCCTCCAGTGTCCTTTGGTTGGGATAACGAAAAGCCACAACGTACCGCCGCTGTTTCCGCCTTTGAGGCTCAAGGCCGGGCGATCACAAATGGCGAATATGCGGAGTATCTGGAAGCGAACCATATCGAGCAGATTCCAGCATCTTGGGTGCTCGCTGGTTTCAACGGAGCTTGCCACGTCTCGAACAAGAGTGGCAGCAACAGTTCTCTCCGCCCGAACGGTTTCCTGTCTTTATATACAGTGCGCACAGTGTTTGGTCCAGTATCCCTAGAGCTAGCGCAGGACTGGCCTGTCGTCGCCTCTTATGATGAGTTGGCCGGCTATGCAGAGTGGGTGAAGTGCAGAATCCCCACCTACGAAGAGGTCCGAAGCATCTATCAATATTCCGAACAGCTGAAACATGCTACAACCCCCCCCAAAACCAATGGCCATGGGTTAGTTAAAAGGAATCCTATGCTTTTATATGTTTAAGAGTCTAACTTTAGGATCAGCACCAGTAACGAGTCTAACAGAATTAAAGGTGAGACCAACGGCACCAAGCCCTATTCAAAAGACCATCACCAGCCTGTCCGACCGCCCGTGTCCAGCACCTCACCGGTCTTTCTTGATATCGAGGGCTGCAACGTCGGGTTCAAACACTGGCACCCTACACCTGTGATCCAAAATGGAAACAAGCTTGCTGGTCAGAGTGAGCTCGGGGGTGTATGGGAATGGACCAGTACGCCGCTCGTACCGCATGATGGGTTCAAGCCCATGGACGTCTACCCGGGCTACACAGGTTCGTGAGCTAACTGCCCCCGAGTTAAATCTTCGATCTAACCTTTCACCAAACAGCGGACTTTTTTGACGGAAAGCATAATATTGTCCAGGGTGGTTCGTGGGCGACCCATCCGCGGATTGCCGGAAGGACCTCGTTGTACGTCATTCTCCTTTGGCCTGCCTGATTCTCAGGAAGAGGTTACTAACTAGCTTCGCATAGTGTCAACTGGTATCAGCATAATTATCCATACGCATGGGCAGGAGCACGGCTGGTACGCGATCTCTGAGCTTGAAACGGTCTCCTTAAGACTCCTCCTCCCTGGACCCTGTATGGCTCTATTCTACCGAAAAAGAACCCTCGGCTCTTGAATACTTGCTGGTGTCTAGTGCTCTAGTCTTTCCAAGGATATTATTACTCTGCCTGTCTCATAACCAAATAATATGATCAGTATACTACCTGTAGTGAGGGGCATATTTTAGTAGAGATAAGAGTGTCTTATCAAGTGGCGATTTCGCACAGGCCACAGCGGGGGAGCGCCGACCAAGAGGACCATCTGTCTACTCGAGCAGACTTCCTGCAAAGCATACATTGTTTTCGATCTTCTAGAATATTCATCAGGGCCAACATGTCCCTCGAAACCATCAACACCATCTCGCCGACAACAAACACCACGGTGGTGACCCGTACGGGCGTCTCGCCCGAGCAGCTCCAGCAGATCCCCGAAACCGCGCAAGCGGCCTTCCGGTCCTTGGTCTCGTCGACGACCCTCCAGCAACGTCAGGAGATCGTGGCACGGGCATTGACCCTGCTGGAGAAGAAGAAAGATGTGCTTGCCCGGGAACTAACGGAGCAGATGGGCCGTCCGATCGCGTATACGGGGGCGGAGGTTGCGACGGCCCTCAAGCGGGCGTATTACCTGAACCGCGTGAGTGCGTCGGTGCTCGGCGAGGAGGGGATCGTCAAGGGCGATGAGGAAAATGGGTTCAAGAGATTCATCAAGAGGCAGCCCGTCGGGGTGGTTTTGATCATTTTTGCCTGGAACGTACGTTCAATCTTGGATAACTACGATCTCTCATGACTGATTGGTGATGATGTTTAGTATCCATATTTGATCCTGGTGAATAGTCTGATCCCTGCTCTCCTCGCTGGTAACGCTGTGATCTTGAAGCCCTCCCCGCAAACCCCGACGGTCGTCGAGCATGTTGCCGCTGCGTTCGTGGAGGCCGGACTGCCGGAGAACGTGATCCAGTACTTCCATTGCGGATCGCTGACATTGATCGAGACTGTGGTTCGCTCGCCGCTAGTCAATCACATCTGCTTTACTGGCTCTGTGGCCGGCGGGCTAGCCGTACAGAAGGCTGCCGCGGACCGGATCGTCAGCGTCGGGCTGGAACTGGGAGGCAAAGATCCTGCATACGTGCGCAGCGACGTCGATGCAGCCTGGGCGGCAGAGGAGATTGTGGACGGGGCTATTTTCAATAGCGGGCAGAGTTGCTGTGCAATTGAACGGGTCTACGTGCACAAAGACATCTACGACACATTCATCGCGGAAGTGAAGAAGGTGCTGAGCAAGTACCGCGTCGGGGATCCTTCAAATCCAAAGACCCAGATCGGACCTGTCATCTCCAAGCGGGCAAAAGAGGCCGTCCTCGCGCAGATTCAGGATGCGATCAGGAACGGAGCCACGGACGAGACACCAGCTAACGAGACATTCGACGCGATGCCCGCTGACGGGAACTTCGTCAAGCCCACCCTGTTGACGGGGGTGAATCACACCATGTCCGTCATGACAGAGGAAACTTTTGGGCCCGTCATCCCGGTGATGAAGGTCGGCAGCGATGAGGAGGCGATCAAACTCATGAACGACAGCGAGTTTGGCTTGACGGCCAGTGTCTGGACCAAAGATGTCCCTGCTACTGAACAGATCATCGACAAGGTGGAGGCTGGAACGGTCTTCATCAACAGAGCTGACTATCCTAGTCCGGTATGCTATATTCTGATGACCATTGCTCTCTTTCTCTATCTCTCTCTCTGCTCTTGGGTTCCCCGTTGTCTTCCTGCTGACATCTTATATAGGACCTCGCATGGACAGGATGGAAGAATTCCGGCCGAGGCGTCACCCTTAGCAAATTCGGCTTTGAACAATTCGTCAAACTCAAGAGCTACCACGTCAAAGATTATCCCAAATAAATTTTCTGCTTTTCTTCTCCATCTGTGGGGTCACCGGCTCTGAATGGACATCGATCATTCAAGGGATATATGTTGGGCGTCCAGGTTCAATGGAGGAACACATCGGTCTTCCTTCTGTTATCTAGGTAGGAACTAGACATCTCAATTGGCTGGTCAAAAATTGATATCATTAGAATGGACGTGATGAATACCTTATATCACAAATATACATATATAACCCTCGGACCAGCAGGGAGATCAGATTTTGATTACTCTGTTATTGTAAGGTGTCCGGAGTATTTAGCAGCCCAGGATCTAATATTATCATCTCCTCTGGAATGTTTCGCCGCATTTTCCGAGAATGCAAGGGATGATTGCGGTGAAGAGAACCAGTCAGCTGAACCTTCGACTACGGATTCAGACTCTGAGGATGCTAATTTGCTCAAAGTCCTGACAAAGGAGGAATGAATGAATGTCTGTGTATCCTTTTTTTTGTTTTTAATTTCTCTGTGGTAACTTACACACTGTGTGTCGTGCCACAGGGGTAAGCAAACTGGAACAAAGGGGACTTTACTCCAAAAAGTGCAAAACGCACATGCATGGACTGGCTATATGCTCCGACTCGAACAGGGAAAGACTCTCGTATTCGTAGATCCTCATAGCTAAAGAAAAGGGATACTCATCCTATTCTTTTTTTGGTCTCTCCCCCCTTTGCCTTTCATGTCTCTCCTCTTTATTGAAACAGAAAGAGGAAATGCGCGCCGATCTGGCCTGCGGCTTCCCGAGATATGGGCAGTAGAAACCAATCATGTGTAACAAAAACTAGCAGGCCTTCGTGCTGTTGGCCAGAGGGAACATGCATGGAAGAAAAGCAGATCGCGTTCCCCTGTCAGCTGGATCGATTCCCAAGCCATTGAGGCATGCCAGCATGCGCCTGGTTCAGTAACGGGCCAGTCTGCGTGTTCACACCCTGGTACACATACCTGGGGCCATCTAACGTCCAGTACGGAGTAGCCCTGGTAGGCAACAATAGCCTGGGAAGAGCTGGGCCAGGGTCTGGCTCTCTTAGCTGTCGTCATGATTTCTCCTGCGATGCACGGGAGCAGAGTCCATCGAAGACAAGGCTCCAACGACAAAGGGGCGGCCTTTGTTTCTTCTTCCTCTTTTCTTTATTTCTTCTTCCTGGCTCTTTCTTTGCAAGGTCAGTGAAAGGGCGAGTCCAAGTCCAGTTACCCAGGGAAAACCCGTACCCGCTGCGCTTGCCAAAGGAATGTGTCACAGACATGGCACAGCCCTCGTTGGACGGCGATTGACATCTGGCGCACGGGCGAGGCCTTTATCAGACGAAGAATTCTAGGCAAATAACGCCTCGTATCCATCCATATATAAGATGTCAGTTCACTGGCATGAGACCTTATTTTGCTCCCCCTCCTTCTTTCCTTTCTTCCCATTCAGCGGGATACATTCACCCATGTCATAGCGCATTTTTGCACATTCAGTCATTCGTTTTATTTCTCTCTTCTATTGTGTCTTTCTGCCAACTTGGTCCCTCGTTTTGATATAAATCGCTCCTCTGTCATTGCATTGTTTTGAACCAGCGTTTTGATATCCCTTGACGGTCACTTTCCTTGAAACGCGTTTACTACACTGTATAGAATAGACCGTGGTGCAGTCAGTCATATAAAAAGGACATCAGCGGCCTTCTCCCATCTCAGCGAAAGACATGGAGTGTTTCCGTCAAATCGTTCGATTCGTCAAGTCGCCCTTTCAAAAGAGCGCGGCACCCAGGATCATTGAAATTGTGAGCTACTAAAGCCTTCATAGTTTGTCTTCTTGCTTCTATTCAAAGTCAAGACTGACATATCTTGTTGTAGGGACCTCCGACGAATTTTAGAAAGGAAAATATGCCGGCCTTTTTCTCAGACGCCGAGTCAGTCATGCCGTGCGAGTCACTGTTATTTATGAAGACGTTTCTGACCATCTTGCAGCACGCTAACATCCCATGATAGCCGTGGTCTCATGAAGGATGGGGAGGACCAGGTATCCGGCTCGATAGAGCGCAGACCATCGACCCGGGAGAAAATCAAGCAGCATGTACGAAGGATGAGCATCAAAATCAACCAGGTCGTTCCCGAAATCGAGCTTGCATAGAGTGCACGCTTGGTCAGTCAGTAATAGCAAACCCTCAAATTGCATCTGAATCTCAGCTCCTCATATAGCGACGCGGTTTTGGCTTGTCAGCATGAGATGCGCTCCTTCCAGATAGACTATCTGAATACTCGGTATAGATACCAACTGGCGCTTGTCACAGAAATGTCGGCACATCTTGAAGCCGCGACTTTTTCGTTCCCAGGGTCTTGCTAGGAGTTGGGCCAGGGGCTGGCGTCGAAATTTTTGAGCCATGACCCGAATGGCTGGGTGTGCTTTGCGCTGGAGAGTCATCGAGATCATCGAAAAGAGAGTCAATCTTTGATCTAAATGCGGTCGGAGTACCGTGTCTCGCATTCATATGAAGCTTTTCATTTACCCGTGTACCTGTTCCAATAGAAGGCGTGTCTATGGTTTCAGATTTGATACTCCTAGCGCTATCTCCTCTGTTCGGGGCTTTTAGCACCCCAACTCCTATTCCAGACCGTAAAGGCGTACTGTAGGCAGTCGTCGATCGACGTACAGAGGTAGACTTCGGGGGAAGTATCGCTCTTGGCACCGTCTTAACATGTTGAATGTTAAGGTCGTCATCCGCGTCGGTTTCAGCCTCAACGTCCGTATGGATTCGGTCCAAATCATTCCGGTGTGAGACGGAGCGAGCTGGCAGGTCGGACAGAGCTGCTGCAGGGCCAGACGGCTGAACATACCCCGCGGCGGCTCGAGTGGCAGATTTGATTCCCTGAAGTCCAACCAGCGAGCGAGTCTTACGGGGACTCATCATAAGATCATGAAGATGTGTCCCAAGCCACATGGAATCATCATCCTCGTCTTCGTTGCCCGCAATCTCTTCGTTTTCGGAATCCGTCCGTGGTCGTTTGCCATGTATGTGCTCCAAATCAGCCTTCTGACGAGCTTTGAGTGCCTCGGCTTCTTTCCTTGATATGGTTTCTTGCGTCATAGCTGTGACTCCATCCGTAGGCCGTTCTATATTTTTGATCGCGTCTGCATTCTGCAGTTTGGCTTCTTTCTTCCTCCGAACATATTCTGCATAGTGGAGGTGTTGCGTGAAGGACTGGGCCACTGTGTAGAACTCATCTTCAACCATTATATATATATCATCGTGGTCTAATCCTTCTAGGAGAAATCTGTACACCCTATTAGAATCTCAGAGTACAGGGTGTGGTGGCTGCACCGACTCTTCGGATGGGCATCGTTGGATGGGGGACGTGGGAGGGGTTTGCGCTTCGAAGAGTACATGTCAATAACTGGGTCTTGATTATGATATCGTTGGCAGACATACAGGATCTGAAGAAATCTCTCTTTTCCGTCTCCGGTGCAGGTATTGCGTCAGCTGTCGGCTTGCTTTCGTTTTTGATAGCAGTCTCCGACTGGCCGCGATTTGGGCGCGGTGTCGATTCGCTCTTCACGCGTTTTCCATCGCTACCAGTGAGCCATGGCAGAGTTCGAGGCATGATGAGGGCGAAACAATAATCCCTCTTCAGACAAAAACCCCTCGCTCAAAGCGTTGGTGCGGATACAGTCACCAGGTTGAGATCGACAAAATAGTTGAGTGACGCAAGTTCCGCACGCGGGCCCAGAAGGCAGCGGCACCTCCAAGACTACAATGGACGAGTTGATCGTCGCCCACGGAATTTTCTATATTATAGTAGATTGTTATTAGAAAGATCCTACTTTTGTTTTAGTTTGTAGTGGGTATCTGATTTTTAATATGAAAAGCTGCAGTATATTTGCTAGATGGTACAACCCCAAACGCCGGCAAAACAGTGACTCGTGAGAGCCGATTCAACTTTATCCATGAGCAACCTTGGTCCTGCTGAAGAGCAAGAATAGCAAGAATCGAACGCCTGGTGAATGAAGTAGAAGGAATATATCGTTACATCATGGCAGCCGTCTACGTCTCGCCCGGGCGCTTGCTATTGCAGCTCACGATCTTCACCTTGTCCGCCTGTACCGTAGACTGGTTATCGAGTTTGAAGGTGACATCCTTGATTAGGAAGGTCCAGACTTCGTCGCAGAAGCGATACGTATCTAGGTGGCCCTGTTAGAGTAGAGAGAGAGAGGTGTTAGCATCTAGAATCAACCAGGCGGGGAACCCCCCCGAGGACGGACGTCACGTAATGGACATGGACAGCATTACCTTGAAGGTCAACCTGGCACGCACGTTATCCGCCAGGACTTCTGTGATGACTCGGTCGAAAGTCGACAAGATCTTCATAGCGAGCTGCGGCTCAATGCGACCATCGTTGATTAGATCGTCCAGCGTATCGGTCAGGGAGAGCCCAATACTAAAGCAACACGTCAGTCTGCCTGTCCGAACCGAAATCCAGTCAGGGAGCAGTACCTGCTTCCTCGGTAGAGTTCATAGTATGACTGTGACGCCATCGTGCCGATTTCCAGAAGCGACGAGGGGCAACTGAAGATGATGGATGTTTCAAGTCGTGAGATACTGATAGGCACCTGCCACCCACGCCTCCGTCACATGATGCTGACTAACAGATACAGTCTAACTGGTTAGGGTTAGTGGGTTCATTAACTATTTATGTAACTGCTTACTAATTTGCAGGTGCATAATATTTATTGACGTCAAACTGGAAATGATTCTACATATCTTCAAGCTGGCGCAACCTGGAGCCATTTTTACTAAGCACACAATGGCCATCAAGCTCTGTACTCAGATTATTCGGAGCCCAAGTGCTCGGTCAATATTTATATCTTCTACTCGGCTTCTATCCTCGTTCGAGAAACCGTCACCTTCGAAGGCAGGTTTGTTATTACCCCGAGAGTTTTGTTTACACATATGTCTAATAGCGATGCAATATAGTCAATGTTGATGAGTCAAAGTCTGGTGAGATGGAAAATGGAAGTACAGGGAAGCATCAAATTCTTAGTAAGACAAAAACCGTCGCTGAAGCAGACGCTGAGTTGCGTGAGCGTCTGGAGCAGATGTCGGGTGGAGGCGGTGCCTCTGGCATCGAATATGAAGATGGGAAACCTACAGCTATGAAAAGGGGTGTTCGAGATAACATGTTTCGCTTGATTTAACAAACCACTCCCTCAAGTGTGGTTATGTCACTCTTTCTCTCCCAGAAGCAGTTTGGAATGAGCGTGTTACGATGAAGACCGACAGACGAAAGCCCATGGGCAGTCTAGTCAACAATTTTCAGCAAAAAACGACAAATAGTGAATTCAGCAGCTATATTTTCCTTCGGGCATGATCGATGGCACATTTATATATTCACCCCCCGGGCGAGAACATTAACGACCTTTTCGCTGAAATCCAGCGAGAGTTCCATATCGCTTCCATTTCGAAAGGACCCCTCCAAACATGCGACAACGGCTTTGGCGTAACTCTCCCCTATCTCCTTGGAAATTTGATGAGTTGCCCAGCTCACGAACTGCTCTCGGACACGCTTCGCTTTGGGCAGTCTTCCACTTTTCTCCGAATCCCTAATTGTACCGGCCATCAATTTGGATATTGTCATCCAAGACCCAATCTCAAGGAGAACCACGCCTAGAGCATAGATATCGTGAATTCTGGCAAACTGGCGCGTTGGCCGGCCTTGGCGCTCAGGATGTCGGTATAGATTTGGTTCAATTTCAAAATCACTGCGCATGTCGGTACCCTGCTGCAACGAGCGAGCAAAGCCCCAGTCACCTAGGTAGGCAAGCATTCGACGCCTGGCTTTCTGGCTATAATCTCTATCTGTCGCATGTTCAACATCAGAGGCGGTGACGCTGTCCGCATTATTAAAAAGCAAGACGCCTTTGCTCCAGATATTCTTATGCACCCAACGGGAGCCGTGCACATTCAGAACCGTCAAGGCCAGACAGTGGGCTATGTTGAAGCGGTCATTCAATGAAGGTTTCAGTGGTCGCTTTGTCTTTGGATCAACTGCATTGATGAAATCGTGTAGTGACACTAGCTTAGAATCGACCTCACCTCCCTTATGAACCGAGGGAAGCTTATAGAGGAGGACACTGCGCTCATTTTCAGGCTGATCGATGAATCCAAGACATTCCAGTGCGTAAATCTTCGGCTGGCTTAGCGTCTCCTCTGTGCTCGCTTCAGTGTCTGAAAATGTGGAATTCTGCAACAGCCACGCCAAGTTTCGCAGAGGGGCTTTGTATTCCTCTATCTCCTCGGGGTCCAGATCATCCCTGAGTAGCATGCTGTCATAGCCGTGATACTCGACAACCACCTGCATCGTTGTGTCTTTGTGTGACCATTGACCCAGACGGAAATCTCCGGAGGTGCCCTTATCTTCAACGATTTTGCCTTCTAGACTGTGGAAATCATCTGGCGCCTTAGCATCCACCAGTGTCTGTCGTTTCCACACAGGTTCCAGGCCGCTGCTTTTTGCACCGGCCGAGTCGCGAATGAAGTGCGCCAAAGATTCCTGTGACATGTGCTGCATCAGGTTCTGCAGACTTTTCGTCCACTCCGTGTACGACTCGAGGATCTTGTTCAACTTCTTCTTATCAAACAAGGACCAGTCAATTCCCTTGAGCTTCAGGGACTGTGCTTTGTTCTTTGCCCGTTCCAGAAGTGACCGTTTCGTGTTTTCTACCTGGTCGGGCTTGTAGTCGTCCATCTTTACCTCACTGTCCACAAGCCCATACTTGGTGCCTACTCTCTCATAATCAGCGAGCACCGCTCTCATCTGCTCCAGCAGACCCGTCACGGTATTTGCAACCCATGTTGGCAGTTTCCCTGGCAGCATCAACCCTTGCTCTGGGTTGAAGAAGCTCTCGCGGAAAAAATACAGCGTCGACAGCTGAAGCTGAAGTTTGAGCCTGATTTCTGCTCTATCCTCATCGAATGACTTGATATCGGAGATAACTCCCTGAATGAAGACAGTGACCTGGTAAACCTGCGTGATAACAGTGACTGCAGTGCCATAGATGTCCATATTGTCGTTGGTTGCTACTGATGATATGGGTTTATTTGCGTCTTCTTCAGCTCGAGATACGGATCGACTTCCCTCAGCTAGGCGTCAGCAATGAAACGACGGACTTTTTTAACCCCGCAGTCCTTAATTTAAATGTCCCTCAGCCGAAGAAGTTATGATCAGCGGATAAAAATAGATATTATCAGCTTATCATGGGCTGTCAGCATAATTTCTTGTCATTTGATCTATCATCGAGAGCATCTGGAGTCAGACCAACCCTCCTTACATCCCTAAGAGCATCATCCATGGCGGATAGTGATAGCGATAGCGACAGCAGCAGAGATGGTCATGATCTCATTAACCCATATTTCGACAATGAATACAACGATGATGATGATGCTAATGGTGATGATGACGAAGAGGTCTTTGATCTGATCGACTATGATTCCACGGCTACGCTTGGCAGTCTTACTATCTCCTCTTTTTCATCGACTGATCTACTCAGTACTAAGATTACGTCTACTCGCAATGGCGATGCACAAATCCTGAGTACTGTCTCGCAGTTCACGAGTATCCTTGCCCAAACCGGAATTGATGGCCCTCGCCTGTTGAAAGCTGTCAACCTCAAGACGAGGGCCGTAAAGATAGGCGCCGGGTCCCAGTTCACCGTGTACAAGGATAAACCGGGCATGGGATACATGGGCAACGAAGGCCTCGTTATCAAACGAGTCAATGTGCCCATTTCGTACAAGCAAGGCCAACGGTTCGCAGCCGGTTCTGAGTATCGTCTCCAGCTCCGCACCCTGGAACTTGAACTACTTGCACTGGGGAATCCGATGCTCCGGAATAATCGAAATATCGTCAGTCTAGTTGCATGGGGATATGATTTTCCCTTCGCTGATACTCCGGTACCAGTGCTGTTCATGGAAGCCGCGATAATGTCGCTTTCTGACTTCCTCGAAGCCGAGAATGAAGCGATGCTAGGTCCCAAGCCATTCGATGTGAAATACCAGTTAGGTCTAGATATCGCCAACGGGTTGGAAGCTTTGCATCGTCTGCATATCGTTCATGGTGATGTCAAACCTGACAACGTTCTCATCTTCCAGGGCAACAATGACAAGGTCCCATTTTGCGCAAAGCTGAGCGACTTTGGCGTCTGCGTTGACATGGACGCGCCCGAAAACAAACTTACGATCAACGACTACCGCGGTACCCCCGCATGGATTGCTCCTGAACTGTCGGATTATAATGAGGGCAAGTTCGGCCCCTTCGAGCCCGAGCTTATGCTTCGTTTCGACGCATATAGTTTTGGCCTGACGCTGCTCTCGATCTTCACCAGACACGGAAACCCACCAGAGTTAGGCAAGGACCCGAGCGCAGTAGCCAAGGAGGCGTTTGAGTTGCTCAAAAGCCAAGATGGCCTTCCACCGTTGATACGCTCGACAATCAACTCTGCAATCCGACGTCTTCTCACGGAAGATCCCAGGGCACGAGCTCTGCCCAGCGCCGGGCTTTTGAAGGCAGACAATCCAGCGTTTGCATCATGGTAAGCCACCTTTCTGGATATAAAATTGCCCGAGCATCATCATAACATTGTAGGTTCTCCTTGTCTCAAATCAACAGCAAGTCAGTGCCGCATGTTGGTACTCTAGATCCCATGTATAACAAGGGTCCTTTATTCTGGTACAGGCTGGATCCTACAGTGCTCTTCGAGCTTGAATCTCAATATAATCTAGCAGAAAACGACGATAATCATCCAGATTTCCCCGGTTCAGTTCTCTTTGGCATGGCTCAAAAGGTCATCGGCTCCAAGGCTGCTCATCTTGACGGTCTTCTTCGGTATTTGACCGGCGCATCAAAGGCTGGGTTTTCACCTGCGAGGGCTGTGTATGCTCAGATTATGCATGCCCATGGCAAAGAGCCGGAATTCGAGCCGGCTGTGCTCGAAGAGTGGACATTGCAGGCTGTCTCCGAAGGATATTTCTTTGCACACCCTGCCGTCCACATTAGTGCAGACAAAATTGAAAAGGCAAAGGCCAAATTCAGAGACAGCGGTGGTTTCTGCGATGATCCATTTGGGCGCAAGATTGAGACTCTAAACATTGCTCGTGACAGAGATAAAGTTGTAAAATGGGGGGTGAAAACGGGCAAGCTTATTGATACAAAAGGAAACACGATGCTTCACGTTGCGGCTGCAATAGGCGCTCTCGACTCGGTCAGAGCTCTGGTCGAAATAAATCTGAAGCAGGCAGTTGACGTCCTAAATGATAATGGCGAGACACCACTATACAAGGCCTGTCAAGCAGGGCATGTCGACGTTATCAACTACCTTCTAGATCATGGCGCGACAGCATCCCAGAGAACGAAACGAGGCATGTTATCGCCATTGCACTGGCTTTTCATGATCCCTGAACCTTCCATCGAACATATAGCCTCTCGCCTGATCAAGACAGATGGAGCCCTGGTCAATGCAACTATAATTCCCACGGTGGCCGTAAACAGCGATCAGTTCGGAGAAAAGATCAATATCTTCCACTAGTGAGGCTCTTCTATCTCTGAATCCTGCTTTATATAAAAACTGACCTTGGCTTACAAATAGTCCCTTTGAGCTCCCGCACGGCACTCCCCTCCACTGGGCCTGTTTCTTCCGTAACACGACCGCTATAGACACCCTCATCGCGTTGGGTGCCAACATCAATGCAACATATCATGGCTCAGATGAGTCGACGACTCCTCTCGCACTGACAGCCTGGTTCAGTGAATCAGATATCGCAAGCCTTCTGATCGGCCACGGCGCCAACGGCCGCCAGCAGGACGCAAAGGGCCGCAACATCCTCCATGCCGTAACGAAGTACTTCCCCGACCGACATGGATACTTGGCACACGACTGGCATTACTGGATCCGACACGGCAACTGGGAGGAGCATCGGGAAAAGATGACAGCTCTGGTCCGCGTGCTGGTCCATGAGGGTGGAGCAGAGATTGACGCTCTAGATAAGGGAAGGCCACCGTTGAGTCCCATTATGGCTGCAGCTGATGCGGGCGTGTGGGATGCCGGAATGATCTGGGCGCTTTTAGAAGTAGGAGCGGACGTTCGACAGGCTCAGGAAGGGATACAAGATACAGGTATGAGCAAGTTGCGACATTAACATGATTGCAAAGTTACTAATACTTTCTTTTTTTCTTTGAAGTCCTGCATTCCTGGGCATCGACCAGAGGGCCAAGGATTGCTTATCCACAGGGCTACATAGGAACATTTAAGAAGATCGTGACGGCAATGGATGCAGTCGATATCCGTGGTTTATACGAAGACGACACGCCCTTACAGAAATTAGCAACAGTATATCACCCCGCAGACGAGTTTGAGGAGTGCTGCCGGGTTCTTCTTTCGCATACTCAGCCTGCCGATATCAACAAAAAGACCAGCCGGGGCGCCACACCGTTGCTCATCGCCTTGCAGGGAAAATGGGACCCTGTCCGCCGCGGATTGTTTCTCCTCGAGAAAGGAGCGAATCCGCTACTCACCATGACAGATGGGAAGGACGTGTTCTTCGCAGTGGCGAGCAACGAGTCGTTGAGCGACCAGCAGAGCCACGACCTGATGCATCAACTCCTTGACCATGTGGATCCGGCAAGCAAAGACATCCGACAGACATATCATACACACTTTCTCAATCGAAACCCAGCAGGATGCATGCACGCACTCTTCGCCACAGCAGAGAAGGGCAAGCTGAAAACGACCCTCCTCGTGCTTGACCTCGGTCTCGCCGCGCGTATCAACGAGCTCAATCCTCTCAAGTCCCCGCCCATCACGGCACTGGACCATGCGCTATCCGCCGCGGAAAAGAGCCGGCGCGAACACCTGGAGACCCTCGCGACTCGCAAACACGGCGATGAGTCGCACGATTATCACCAATGGCAACTCGGGCCACCGCCTCACGCGGCAGAAGCCTTCCGCAACTTTCCCGAGCTTGTGCGCGTGCTCAGATCGCGCGGCGCGAAATGTGCATGGGAACTCACGATGCGTGGATACCTCACACAGCGAGTCCGGGGCTTTACCTCCGCTATCTTCCAGGGAGGAGGCGTCACGCCAGCCCAGCAGCAGCCGGACGGGGATCGTTGGCAGATTGTGTACGACCTGGCTCGGTATCCCTCTTGATAGGAAGAATCTCGGCAGAGCCCGAGCTAAAGTAACTACATAGCAGCACAGGGTCACCCTTTCTCAGTGTCGTCAAGAGGCAAACAGTCAAAATCTATGCGAAAGTTATAGGTTAAGAGATGATCAGAAGAAATGTGCTATTGAATCTCAGTCTTCAATCTCAATTTTGCATCCAATAAATTCCACACGTACGCCACCGTAGTTTTTTAGCTGGGTCGCTCGACAGGTTATATAGGCATGACTCCCTTGATACCATGCCCTCGCAAATATGTGGAAAACAGGCCCCAAAACTCCTGCAATAAAAGACTGATGTAAATGAGATGAAGCCTTGCGAGACAGACAAACAAGGGAAGCAAAGGAAAAAGTTAGGTGAGGTATGGAAAGGCCTCAGAAAAGCATATGGGATCAACAGTTCAAAGCGACAGTCTATTCTGGGCAAGATAAATGGATAAGAAAGAGAATAGGAAGAGGATTAGAAAACGTATAGCGATGGGGGAAGGATAAGAAAAACCACAGGATTAAATCGCGTTAAGGCAGAAAGAGCAGATGGGAAACCAGAGCATGCAACATACATAAAGTCATTAATATCACAAATTAATAGGTCATTCATATAGGGTACGGTACCATCGGGCCGAATGGTGAATCCAAGACTTTTTTTTTTGGATTTAATGGCCGACAACCATACCAGCCAGCACACCTGCGCCGATGATGCCACCATCCGAGGCTTCGCGGAGGAAGACGGACCTCCCGCTGCGCTGGGGGCCAGTCCGCATAATCAGCCGATCGATGTACAGCTGGCAGGTCTCTTTGAAATTGGGGTAGTTCTGGATAATGCCGCCCGTGTAGGCGACGACGAGCTCTTCCGGGCCAGACTGCCAGTCGGCCGGGGCTGGGGAAAGGACGGGGACGACCAGGCCATGGAAACCGTTGCTAGCTGCCAGCGGGGACTGAACGGCAGCATGGTCGAAGAAACCGCTCTGGACGGTGTCCGACTGCTCCGGGGTGTTACCGTTGCTCTCCACTTTCAGCTCGATTTCACGGGTGCAAGCAAGCAGGCCCACGACCGCGGCTGCAATCAGGCCCGCCGAGCGTTGCTGCACGGCACTGGCGATCTTGCGGAACGCCCGGGCGGTTCTGGAATCCCAGGACCACTCGCTGCTCTCTGGGGGTGGCAGCGAACGGCGCAGCTCCTCTGCCAGATCTTGGTCGGAGCGAGCGCGAGCTACCCGGTCGGAGATGTAATTGGTCGTCAGGGTGTACTCCTGGATCAGGTTGGCGGGCAACTCTTTCTTGGTGACGCCGACAACGGTGGTCAGGTAGTCGAATAGAATCAGGCGGATAAGCTCGCCAATGTATCGGCCTCCGGTCATGTACTCGAAGGGCTGGAAGCCGGGCCGGGCACAGGCACGATCCAGCTCCTCGTCCCATTTGGTGATGATGCCAAGTTCGCGAAGGGGAGCCGACGCACCGGAAATGGTCCACTCGGTATTGATGATGGTTTCCTGCGCGTCTGGGTGGCGGGCACTGACTTGTTTCGCCTTGTCCTCGTGCAGATCGCTGAGCTTCATGGGGATCGTCGCGTTGCAGCCAGTTCCGACAATGATCCCCATAGCCACGCGACTGTTGGGCAGGGATTTGACGGAATAAGCCAACGACGCCAGGGTGGCAACGGTATCATTGGTGATGGCGGCAATCTTCAGCTTGGGCAGGGCGAACAGCTTGCGGCGCTTACTCGAGGGTTCGTCTTCATCCGGGCGACGGGTATGCTTTTCGTATCCATTGAGCAGGATCTTGCGCAGGTTCAGGTCCGAGGTGATGGCAAAGCCCTTGCCCATGGGCATGAGGGTGGCCTCGGCAAGCGACTCCTGCATGATGGGGAAACTGAAGGTAATACCCATGTCCAGCTCTGCAGGGATGTTGCCTCTGGTAGCATCCGAAGTCAGGCTGTCGGCAACCACCTCGGCGATGCAGTCTCCAATCCAGGCAAACAGATCGTCTGCCTTGTCCATTTTCAAATGTTCGCCAATCGGCCAGGCCTTTTCGAGGGTACGCTTGACCCGCTGTCTCTGGGCCTTGCGGAGCGTATCCTGCGATCGCTCAGATGCATCGGCGGACCGGATATCAGAGTCTGCTGCTTCGCCCAGTAACTCGATAAAGGCGACTCTCAGGTTACTTCCGCCGACGTCAATTGCAAGGTAGCGTCCAGTCTCGTTTCCGCTGGGTAGGTTCGTCACGGGAGTCGGCAGGAACTGCTGCTCCGACTTGAGCGCCAACTCACGATACACCTTCGAAAAGCGACGAGCCAGTTTATACAGCGTCGCCTCGCTAAGGGTGATGGCCGCGAAAAACTCATTGACCTCGCGATCATGCTCCAGCTTCTCCTGCTCCACGGGGTCGAGTTCGGAGCCAGTATCATCCTCGCTCTGCTCATCGCCCAGGGGTTCGTGATCCTCATCTGGATCATTCTCGCCGTCGATATGCTTGATAGGAACCATTGTGATGTTGCTTCGCTAGCCAGACGTCTATCTTCTCCAGTCGGCTTCAAACACGACCTCACTGCGAGACGGCTCCTCTCGGCGTGATACAACGGTTTTTTTCTGGCCGTAGATCCCACAGTAGTATTCGCCGTAAAGGGTCTCTCTCACTTTATCAAATATCCACGAGGGAGGAAATGCAACGTAGGGAGGAGGAAGGCAAGAAGTTGGTGGGTGGTGGTCAATTGGGCGACATCGACGAAAGGGATCGAGACGCCGTGAAATTGAAGCCGGATTCGTCTCACGCGAAGGAAAAATATACTGCGAGGAGATCTGCTATTCCAGAACCAACCCAGTCAGTGAATTGTTTTCCTCATTTCAATCGTCAACAATTTTGCCGAGGTGGAAAAGCGATAAACGCGGTCCGACGACGATCCCCTTTCAACAAACAACATTGCCAGAATGCAAGGGCATGGTAAACACATCCTTGACGAGCAACGAGGGGATTCCCCATCGGTAGACAACAAGAACAGGGAATCCCACGCAATCCAGAAGCCGTCTTGGAGGGGCTGTACGTACCGTAGGGCTATAGATCGCCTGGAGCGCTAGTCCAGATCGTTTTTGGTCTGGGGAGGGGAAAGCAGGGATGATGTCGTCGTGCTGCTCCGAGTTAACGCTCCCCTCACACACGGTCTGCCACACGGTCGGCAGGACTTATTTGAACGCGAAGAGAAAAGAGGGAAGACGAGAGTGCAGGCTGACTGACAAAAGGAGGGGGATCGCAGGTGGGCTCCAGCTCTCTGGAGAGCAAATGCGACCATCGGCGCATGAGGCGTGAAGCCCGATGTGACGCTGTGCTGGTACGGAGCAGCTGCTCTCTTGGGCCCGCCTTCTCTGGTTCGCCCGACGCAGGACTTGATATCTCCAGGGCTCTGGTCTGAAACGGGCACGGCCAAGGTCCTGACGCGGCAGAGAGGATGCCAGTGTGGACGGGGTCTTTGCAGTGGGCACTGTCCCTGGGAGGCCTTGGTTTGACTGACCCGGCCCACTGAGTGGAGTTTACGTTGTTATGAGTTATGACGGTCAACGTCGTCGACACAGCTGAAGCTGAATAGAGAATAATTCGACGGTTGAGTGGTCTTGAACTGCATCCAATGTGTTTTTGAATGATGTGGACTGACCGTTATTTAACTTTAGATGCCTCTCGATCGGTGTCGTTCACCTCTAGATTCATCGTTCGGCTGTCGCCTGCTGGTTTCCTCCCCTCCCCAGTATCCCCCGGCCATGCGTGTGAGGCTCTGTGATGAGAACTGGTTGGATAACTCACCAGGTGATAATTCCTCCGTAAGTAATGGTTGGTGGTTGAGACTTCAATGGGCTTGCTATCCCTACAGATCTTCGGGCCTATCCTCACTGGCTACTCTTGTTCTCCCTCCCCTCGTATACGAGGTACTCCATAACTACGCAGTACTCCATACGGACTTGAGTCCAGGCTCCATACTCCATATTCAAGGTTATGGGAACATCCTCCCAGTGGGTCGGGTCTGGCGGTCCCGATGGTTGGCTTGGTGCAATTCATGACCATCAGCGCCGTCCTCCGTGCATCGTCCCGAATATCTGAGCCCGCTAGCTTCCAAGCATCCGTCCGGCCTTCCGAACTGGCGAGAAGCCCTGTGTATTCTCGATCCGACTGGTGGGCACTGGTACCTAGTCCCTCACTACTGATCCCGTCGGATCCGATGCCTTTGCAACCAGGGCAGCTGTTACTCATTCGCCATGTGAGTTGGGTCACGCGATGGTCGAATGATAGAGTTATACACTAAATGAATCCTAATCTTACCAGAGATGTGTACTGATCGACCTCCTGGGGACGCTCAGCTAGGTACATCACTGAAAACCTCGGCTACTTGGAACTTCTTTTGCTGACGGGGGTACTTTCCCCGTGTCCAAAGCCATTCGTCGCTTACCCGTCAATTTACCAGCTGACGCCCTGTTGGGTGTTGGTAAAGCTTGAGAAGTTATATTATACTAACTACATACTACATCGGCACTGCAAGAAGACAGAATAATGGCGTGTGTTCGTTGGAAAAACCATACATTGTCGTATTTCCAGGGCAACAATGCAAAGTCAGATACACTGATAAGCCTTTCTATGCTTCTCATAGGGTTAAGATCAGCTATCCCTATGAAGTAGTGATGATGATATCAGCAGATCCTAGTCATTTACAAACCGGCACTCGTATCTACGTTGCATTCCAACAAGATCCGCCGCAAGTCCTCCGTATAATCTACCTAAGAACTATCCCATATGCGACACGCCATACATTATGCACTCCGTGTTCAAGGCAGGCCGCGTCATACCAAGAGTGAATAGACAGTCTAAACTGTTTTTGTGGCATATCGTACGGAGCATTGCCGACTTCCGAATAATCTAACTACTAACTGGCTACAATAACACTTCGGAGCAGTTCCGCATTCTATGTAGTATGTAATATGTAACCAGTACATACTAACTATATAAATACAACATAAATACCGTTAACTAGTTGATAACTAGCTATGACAACAACCTAGATCTAGAGACCCACTGTCCCGTGCAATAATAACGAATTTCCGGTGGCATCATCTGATAAATAATAGCTAATGCGTATTCGAGGGCATACTACATAAATAAGCCTTGCTACAGAGCATGCTTTCAATACTCCGATCTCGGATGTAAGAAGGCCATAAGTATAGTATCGAGTGTCTGTAATCATGTCTTCGTAGTTCCTACTACCTGGCAGTGCCTGTAGTTATGTAGTATTCTTGATGTGGTGGTATATCACTGTGTAGCCCATAATGTGACACAAATAATCTCTGCCTCAGGCCGCAAATCACTCCACCATAGCGCACTCGAATGACGACAATCCCACCTCATCAGCTCTGACCTCCGCCTCCCCGGCTCAACAACGATCTGGTTTCTCCTCGAGTGAATACATTTCGACTCAGAAACAGCAACGATACCATCACAGATGGAGAAATTCGCCCTGAATATCCCGGAGGGCGGTCAGGGGTCGATATTTCCCCGGCGCGACCGTGTCATTACCCGGCTCCTCCGCCGGACGGCCATCGCCCTGTTGCTCTGTTTCGGCCTGTACGTGTGCGTGAATCGGTTTGCAGTCACGGAAGGCCGCCTGCCCTCGTACCTCACACCGGAGGAGGCTCTCTACAATGGCCACACGAAGGCCTCGACGACCAAGATTCCGCTGGAGGCGCACATCATGAGCAAGTGCCCCGATGCGAGGGACTGTTTGCAGCAGTTGATTGTTCCTGCCATGGAGCAGATCAGCGACAAGGTTGAGTTTCAGCTATCAATGATTGCTAGGTGAGTACAATCACTTTCACCCTTCGCACAACAAGTTGAGAAGCCTAAGCTTATCATTCCCAGTGTATCGAACCAAAGCTCCGAAGTTATATGCAAACATGGTCCCTCCGAGTGTATCGGCGACATGCTCCTCCTCTGCGCGGCGAATTTGCCCTTCCCTCCACAGCCGAAAGGAACCGCAGCCTCCGACTCGGCTCTCGTTGAGACAGGCGACCAGCAACGCACCCCGACGATCCGGTCCCTGGGCTTCGCCAACTGTCTCGTTAAGTCATACTCGAATATTCCCAGCCGGGAGCTGGTTGAGGGGTGCGCACTGGAGCACGGGATTGACTTTGATGCACTGAACCAGTGTGCTAGCCAGCAGGATGACGATGTGGACGATGATTACTCGCCCTCGCACCGCGCCGATAAGCCGATCAGCGGGATCGCGCTGCTCCGAGAGAGTGCACTGCATAGTGCCGCGCTGTCGGTGAAGACCAGCTGCACCGTCCGGGTGGATGAGAAGGTGTGGTGTGTGCGAGATGGAGGGGTGTGGAAGGACTGCGTTGGAGATGGCGAGGGCAGCCAAGTATCTGTCCTAGTGAACGAAGTGAAGACGCTCTGGGAGCAGAGAAATTGAACTCGGTCTAGTTATGATTAGGGAATGCTGGACATTCAGGATATCGTGTATTATAGACTATCTCAACAATCAACCTATTCCAATCCCCTAGTATCTTCAAAGAAAGATATTATGTAGATACTCTTGACCCAACACTGACAGGTGATGTTTGTCTTGCGCAAAAGCGAGATTGCTCTCACTTCAGCTTCCACTCAGCTTTTATAACAGCTCCGACAGCAGCTCTCCCTCTTTATTACACTCTTTCTTTACCAATGGCCAGCACACTTTAGCTGTGGTCTTTCCTATCCTATCTACTCCATCTTTAGTATCTTTCCTTACATTACACACCTCCAGCATGTCTATCCAGACCTCAGACCTGATTCTATTCATGAACGAAAGCCCTAGAGAGACCAGTTCCCCTCCTCCTGCTACTGGGCCCATCGTCGATCCGCGCGATGCAGCAGTCGACTTGCTGGTCCACAAGTACGGTCTGATCGAGAAAGCCAGCGGCACGCTGCAGCAGATCCTCGACCATGGAGACCACCACTGGGCGCTGGCGATGGTTGTCGAGCGGTACTGCGGCATCGTGCGTGCCCGCGTGCAAGACTGGGAGGCCGGCCAGGTCAGCGTCTACGACAAGGCGCTCTACAAGCTCTTCTACAACGAGGCTTCTTCACATGCGACCACCATCGGAGCCTACGAGTTGTACCTGGCTGAATTTCTTATGGCGACTCGGGCCGGCGAGGTTCTGCTCCCCGTTGATAATGTAAATAGCTACACTCGTCTGGTCAACACTTTACCTGGTCAGTTTTTATCTTCTTCTTTTCGTCTTCTCTTTCTATTTGCTATAGCATGATCTTACAGTAATAGTTCAAGTTGAAGCACATCACACCACTATCACGACATCCACCCGGACTGCAAGACGTCGCCGCGGCAGAAGACATAGGATCAAGGCGATGAAGCGGGCAGCGAGCACCGCCGACACTGCGAACAGCGACAGGCTCGCCACGATGCTCAGGGTCTTCACCAACGCCCGAGACGAGTACCGCGAGCACGAACGCAATGGACTCATCACCGTGCAGAGCGCCCGTTTTCTGCGCGACACCGCCGAGAACGCCATGATCTGGCTGCGTGACAAGGGGCTCCTCGACCATGACATGCTCCCGGAGATAGAATACTACTTTGACCTCGCGAAGAAGAAGGCCACCCAGATGGCTGGTGGTCGGGAGCGGTCCTTCGATCCGGGAGCCAGGATCAACAGGCCCAGACGCTGCTTAGACAGCTATCGTCCTTAAGGGTGAGTTCATATTGGCAGTCTGGAACTATCGCTGGAACTGTTATCTTTTTTGTCTGGTCCCCAGCTTAATGGGTTTGTTTCCAATGGCCGCGGATTCTGTTGTTGTGTTGTCAGGAGGACCAGAACTTAAGGTTGTCCCTTGTAAGCGAGACGCTTCTAGAAGGATATCTATTCCACCTCTTTCAATCAGTTCTACAGCAAAAGCAGAGTTCCCCCTTGTTCATCTCTTAATTATTTCCTAAATCCTAGCACCAAACACTGTCTGTATTAGGATAAGCTGTCGATCTCTGCTTTCAAGTCCCAAAAATAGCCCTTCTTATCTCGAAATGACCATCTAAAACTAGTTGTCTACCAACAATAGTGTCTCTCACCGACACGATGAGTCGCGAAGTAGAACGCCCTGTTCTTTCGATCCTCCGACAAGCGAAGTGTCCCACACAACTGCGAATGCGTACCTCTTTCCTTTCATCGCCTCACCTTGTCTTGCAAAGCCCTACTTTCTGCTGTCCCAGAAGCCGTACTGCTGTTCGTACGTTAAGTACTCTCTCCTGCAAAACGACCACGCCCAACCCCGACTTCGAACACTTCTTTCGCTATACGAGTGGGCGATGGCTCTGGGATGAAGAAAAACAGCTTCAAGATAGATACAGGGTTTTCGATGTTGCTGAGCTTCAAATGTCAGCAGCCAAAGCAGCAGGTTCAGAGGTCTGTATCTCAATGACAAAGCTGGCAGAGGGAGGATTTAACAAAGTCTTTCGTCTACTTATGAATGATGGCAAAACCGTGCTGGCGCGGATCCCAAATCCAAATTCCGGTCCCCCTTTTTATACGACTGCTTCTGAAGTTGCTACCATGGAATTTGTAAGTTCTTCCTGTCGTGGTTAGATACAAGAAAGAGATGGCTTCTTATCTGTCTACAAGGCTCGAGACTTCCTCCAGATCCCCATTCCTAAAGTGATAGGATGGAGCGCTACATCCTCCAACCCTGTGGGCTCGGAATATATCATCATGGAAGAAGCAGCCGGAACACAACTTGCGTTGTTGTGGGACGATCTGAATCCGGATTCGAAACTCTCCATCATGAGGGAGATTGTGACTATAGAGACAAAATTGCTGTCTTTATCATTTTCCCAGTACGTTTCTTTCTCGTCCACCTCTACGTATCTGGGCTCATTCATTGGTTGCAAGTTACGGAAGCATATATTTTGCGAAGGATGCAGTACCAGGTGCAGTACCAGCCAGAATCACTAGCGAGGCTCCCATCGAATTCAAAAAGCAAGTATCAAAACGATTTACAATCGGGCCTTCTGTTGACAGAGAGTTTTGGAAGAAGGAGCGTTCTGCGATGACTATCTCACGGGGTCCATGTAAGTCTTCTCGTGCTCTATATGAGTCTTCCCTCCTGACTGCCCCCAGGGGACAATGCCAGGGATTACTCGCTATGTGTAGGTAGGCGTGAAAAGGAGTGGATCACTCATCATGCCGTTCCAAAGCCACCAAGTGACGTGAGGTTGGTTTCGGCAGCTCAAAATGATCCACAAGCGCATCTACAACTGCTGGAGAAATATCTCAAGATTGCGCCTTCTCTTGTGGACATTGACTCCTCTCTGATTCGCTCAATACTATGGCATGCAGACCTTCACTCCTCTAACATCTTTGTGGATGATAGTCATGTCACCGCTGTGATTGATTGGCAAGGCTTATGGGCTGGTCCACTCTTTCTTCAAGCCCAGCCATCTCCTCTTGTTGACTACCAAGGTAGCATTCTACTAAAACGACCCGACAATTTTAATAGTCTTGACCCTGCAGAACAATCTCAGGTTAAACGCAAGATATTCAAGTCCACGCTCTTCCAACTTTATCTCATGGAATCCGAAAGACGCAATCCCGACCTTGCAAGAGCATTCCATTTAGATCATGGGAAAACAAGGCGTCTTCCTATTGAATTGGCGGGGAACACGTGGGACGATGACATTGTCTCTTTTCGAGCGGCGCTCATAAACGTGGAAAGGTGCTTTCTTCATAGATTAACTTCTACTTAACTGATGGCTGCTGACTGTTTGTCCAGGTACTGGGATGAGCTTGGTATCCAAGGCGACTGCCCATATCACTTCACGCAGAAAGAATTAGATAGCCATCTGGTTGATGCAGAGGGTTGGAATGATGTTGCAGATTTCTTTGACAGCATTGAAGACCTGGTGAAGAGAGATGGTTGGACACACCCTGACACATATGAGGCTGCCTTGAAATTCTTCTCGGAGCTCAGGAAACAGGGTCTTGAACGTATGAAGGGTGAAGAAAGGCGCTCGTTCGAAATACACACTCGCTGGGCAAAAGGCATAAACGGAAGCTGATAGATATATCGATGCGTCCTGCGCTGTCATCCATGTGTTCGAACTGTTATCGCAACGTTTTACTACTTGCGACAAAACGACTTAACACCGGGGCCCCTCTTTCCGACCACCTCGAAAACGGGCATCGGCCCCTTCACTTTCTCGACCTGATCTTAAGTATAATTGGCAACATTTGGTTTTTGCCACTCACCGTACTTCTTCACAGATGTGTCTCGAGGGCCGGAAACAAGCAGTGGACTCGTGGCTCTCTTTAGTGCAGACAATACATTAATGTTGATGAGAGGGTGCGGTGATCTAGCCTCCAGCTTATGACTTCCTCTGCGCTTGTCTTTTCCAAGTCTCTGCTGCTCTTCCATGCAAAGCTCTTCTCGGATGGATCGGAGACATCTTTGCGCGTTTCAGAGATACCACCTTTCCCAGCGAAGGCAACCGGTTTTCTGTCAGTTAAAGAACGAATATGTATGTGCGAAGGCTGTAGAAGGATATATAGTAACTTGAACTAATTACCTGATGTACCTTAGGTAGGTAGTTACTGGTATGTAGTAGTAGACTGAAGAAGATAGGAAGTCTTAACAGCAGGGGTGGTTTGGACACTAACCATATACAGAATAGGACGCGCCGACTTTCAAGGTTCTAAAAGTGTTCAAGGGGGAGAATCTGTTTTCGACCTCAACTGTCCTTGCTACAATTGATATTAAGCTTCTGTTTGTTTTCTAATTTAATTATGATTTACTGAGTTGGATAATAATGGCCTCTCTTCATCCCCTGCCGCCAGGGTGTCCCGTTTCCTCCTTGGCGGAGAACGGGTCTTCGTCGGCGTCGTCGTCGTCGGCTGCTGGAGCTCAACTGACGCCCGATTCCAATCGATCCGAGGCAGGGTATTATCATCCAGGCAGTCCCTCGAATCCCTATGCCGGGAAGCTGGCGTTGAAGACTGATTTTGGGGACCTGGATGAGGATGACCAGGCGGAGATAGCCAGTTTCCTGGATGAAGACAACGCCAAGACTGACGACGACCAGGCCGACGAGGAGCAGATGCAATTCCAGGAATTTATCTCGAGAAGAGGAGGAGGAGGAGGCGGTGCTTCTTCCGCGTTGGTTTGGACCACAGCTGAAGAAAAGGAGGTCGTCAAACGGTTTGACCGGCAGCTGGTTCCGTTCCTCGCTTTTCTCTATCTGCTTTCCTTCCTGGACCGTTCAAGTAGGCTTTGCGATTCTGGTCCTTTGTTTGACTCGGGAAATTTGCTAAATCTTTTGTGTGTGTGTTTCAGATATTGGAAACGCAAAGATAGCCGGGCTGTCGGAAGAACTGCCTCTGTCGTCTTCGCAGTATGAGTGGCTACTGACCATCTTTTATGTCACTTACATCCTGTTCGAGTGGATGACGCTCATGTACCAGGTTGTTCCGCCGCACATTTACATCTCGCTGTGCGTGTGTGGATGGGGGCTCGCAGCCTCGCTCCAGTCGCTGGCGACATCGTTTGGCACCCTGATGTTCCTTCGGGCCTTGCTCGGTTTCGCTGAAGCGGCATTCGGTCCAGGCGTGCCTTTCTATTTGTCTCATTTCTACAAGCGTGAAGAGCTTGCCTTTAGGATCGGATTGTTCATCTCAGCGGCGCCCTTGGCTACCTCCTTTGCCAGCAGTCTGGCCTGGCTGATTGTCAGATTAAGCAGTCAGGGGCCCATCTCACCATGGCGTATGCTCTTCTTAGTTGAGGGGTTTCCCAGCGTGGCTGTCGCTTTCTTTGCATGGGTCCTCATTCCTGATTCCCCCGGGCGCGCTCGATTTCTCTCTCCACGACAGCGAAGAATCGCTGGCCTGAGACTAGAAGAGGCCAAGAAAGATATCCACGGCGCCCGGTCGGGAGGGTTCAACTGGAAAGAGGTTGCGAGAGCATTGAGAGACCCTAAATGCTATCTTATGGCGGTATGGCACTTTCGATTCTTTCCCTTCAATAATGATATGCTAACGGTTGTTTTGTAGTTCATGTACTTTAGTTGCAATGTCGCTTTTAGCTCAATGCCGGTCTTCCTCCCTACCATCCTTAAGGAGTAAGTATATCTAATCAATGAAACCATACAAGTTGCTATCTTGCTGATTTGAATCACAGTATGGGCTATTCATCTCTCCAGTCACAGGCCCTTTCAGCCCCCCCTTATCTAGTTGCGTTCATCGTGGTACTACTTACAGCATTCATGTCGGACCGCTCCAGGTCTCGGAGCACCTATCTGATTATCCATGGTTTACTCTCATCATTCGCCTACTTTGTCATTGCAGCGACTGGCTATTTTCATGCGCATATGTCCCCGGCGGTACATACTTTCATCCGTTACATCTGCGTCTACCCTGCCGTCTCAGGCTTTTTCTCTTGCATCGTCTTGATCATCACCTGGTCGATGGACAACCGCATTGCCAAAGAAGGCAAAGGCACCAGTGTCGTTATCATGAACGTCATCGGTCAGTTCGGGCCTATTCTAGGCACACGACTGTACCCGCAAAGTAACGGACCATGGTATGTGCAAGGTATGGCGACGTGCTCATTTTTTATGGCTTTGGTTGCGCTTCTAGCCCTTGCTTTGCGGATCATCCTGCAAAGATCAAATGCTGCTGTTGCAGGTGGAAACGCCGACGACATCGAAATGGAAGAGACAGAAGAAGCACTGGGGTTGATGGGTGGCACCCGAGCAAAACTTCAGCAGGCCGAACGCCTGACCTATATCATTTGAATTCTTGTTTAAGAGCCCCTTATTTTTTTGGACTATATATATGAAGCCATCATTTTCTGAAGATAAACAGCTATTAACGACTTATTCTTTGTCCATCATTTCATCAAGCCTTGCTCCTGGGCTATTTTGTGCATATCAGTGGGCCAGATGTCGAGGAATTGTCTGCCATAACGTTGCATCTCGGGGGAAGAAGTCTTCACCATTCGGAAGAACCAATCGTCTTCTGTATTTCCCATCAGACGGTATTTGTTGGCCGTTGTGACAGGATCCACAAAGAGCTGGAAGACTCTGCGGCGTTCGTCTGCATAAACGTCTAGCAGTGACTCGGGCAGGCCATGGTTGATGATCAGAGTAAGCGTATCTGCCAACGCCTCGGCGTCGAGCAATCCTGTATTGAGACCCATGCCACCGATAGGCTGTGGGTTTTATGTTTTTCCATGTGAATATGTCTTTTTGTTTTCTTAGGAGAGGTTTAATCTGGTTCGCCACTTACGTTGCACAAGTGAGCTGCATCTCCGGCAACAGCGCACCGACCTCTCCTAAAGGCAGAGGCAACGCGCTGGTGTATTCTGTACACAGCCTTGCGGATGAGTTTGTACTTTGCCGGTGGTGGACCGGGCATGAACTTTTCGATGAGCGCAGTGACATTCGCTTCGGACAAAAGCTCTTCGTCGAGGCGCGGATCCTCTGCCTGAACCGCAATCGTATATCGCCAGACTGATGCTTGCCCTTCGACCGGCCTGGTTATGGGAATGATAGCCCCGAAGTTGATTGGATCCACGATGAGATTGATCGGCAGGTTAGGGACACACCAGTTGACTGCTTCAAACTCCATCGACACCATTCGCTCTGGCCAAGTGTGTCCGTGAAAGGAGATATCGAGCAGCTTCCGAGTCATGGACTTGCCTCCATCTGCACCCACCAAGAATGAAACGGTTGTCTCCTCAAGAAGACCGGAGATCGTATCTCTCAGCGTTGCAGTGACGGCGTCTCCAGTATCGCAAATCCCATGTATCTCCTTATTATAAGACACACTGACATTCCCTGTCCGTAGCGCCGCACGCAGGAAAATCTCGCATGCCTCAGATTGCGGCAGCATCAGAAAGCTCTGCGCCACCGAGTCTCTTTCTATCGTGCTTGGTTGAGAATACCATACTTCCGCCACCAACTCTCCATATGCTTTCCCTCCTTGTTCATCGTCTACAGGCGGTTTTCTCCACGCCAGTCCAGGGCCCCAATAACCTTCTTCGGAGAGGAGATTCAACAGGTTCGCCTTCGCAAAAGCCTGTAAAGCCGCCCCAAAGTACCCAACAGCGCGGGGTAGAGGGTTAATCTGGTCATCCCTTTCGATTACGTGGACTTGGATACCGGCCTGGCCCAGGTTCAATGCCAGGAATAGGCCGACGGGACCGGCGCCGACTATGAGAACTCGGTCCAGTTTGGCGGGCATGTGGTCTTCAAAGTCAATCCTCTGTTATTCAAAAAGGATAGTATCCGGAAGAACACGAATTCTCTAGAGAGGGTGGTCATGATGACTGAAGTTCTGGGGGGACGGGCTGCCTCGTGCTTCAAGTCTCAGGTTACACAGCAGAGACTCTGCCATATTAATAGCCTGATATATCAGCATGTGCTTTTCTTTCTGGATGCACTGTCAGTGTGATCCTTTCTCTGAAGAAGCTCTACGACTCTTATCTTCAAGGTCAGAGCATATTTGCCGTTGAAAATATGCTAGAAAGGAATCCTTGGGCATTGAGAGTCTAGACTCGAGCCAGACTTGGAGACAGGATTGAAGACTCAGGAGATGATCGTCATGCTCCACACAGTGGATTACAACATGACTTACAATGCTGAGAATGTACTATCCAGCCCGGATTTTAGCAAACCGACTCACTTCAGCGAGCATTCAACACAATCTGTTTGGATGTTATCACGGTAAATATGCCCTGTTGATAAGCTATCTCTTGGATATTCAAGATCTTGCTAATTTTAATCCTTCTTATAGACTGTTGCTGATCGGTGACTCCGCTGGTGGACCTTTATCCCTTGACGGGGAAGCTCGCCGTGTTCAGTAATGGAGAGATAAACCAATCCACGATATCACTACTTTGGTGGCAACACATCCTCCATTCGAACCGTCCCGGTCGAACATGCTGCGAGTCTGGACCCGGTTCCATCGTGAAATTGTCACGCGTATCGTTCAAGCTTTTTCTTCGTCACTCTGCTGATATCGTGACGAAGAGATATGGTGGTTTGTTTCCGTTGCGCCCGGCTCAGTCGGGTGGAGAGGCTACCTACGTATACTTAAGGACCTGATCAAGAGGACTGTGACTCTTGTCTACTCTCGAATAGTTCAGCGACCCAGCCGAGCTATCTAGTGCCACTATAGCCGCGGCTATGCTGCCTTGGCTTGCTCAGTCGCGCTTCCTGACGAGATCATGCTTGACACCTTCTCATCTGCTGAGATGCTCTCTTGCGACAACGGCCCATCCAGACCTGGTGCGGACCAAAATTCCACCTCGCACTGGCCGTGAAAACAATCGGTTCCGCGAATTCGATCTCGGCCAGCGTGTCTTTGCCATCACGGGCGGAGGCAGGGGCCTGGGGCTGGCCATGGCGGAAGCGCTGATGGAAGCCGGTGCAAAAGGTATATCAGATATTTTTTTGATTCTTCTACACGTTGCCTCGAGGCTTAATGACCCAACCGGACTTCTTTTGAATATTGCAGCTAAAAAATGGGCAAATAGTTTACTGTCTGGACCGTCTGCCCGAACCTGAACCAGAGTTCAAGGTCGCGCAAGACCGGGCGGCCAAAGACTTTGGCGGCAGTCTCGAGTACCACCGCATCGATGTGCGCGACAGCCAGGACGTGGAAGAAGCAATGGCTAAGATTGCACGCACCGACCGGCGACTTGACGGGATGATCGCCGCGGCGGGGGTGAACCATCTCGAGAGTGCGCTGGAGCATTCGCAGACGGCGCTCAACGAGGTGATGCAGATCAACTACAACGGGGTGTTCAACGCGGCGACCGCCGCCGCGCGTCAGATGTTCGAGTTCCAGCAGGGGGGCTCCATCCTGCTCATCGCCAGCATGAGCGGCCTCGTCGCAAACAAGGGCATGACCTCCCCGGTCTACAACTCCTCCAAGGCGGCCGTCATCCAGCTGGCCCGCAGCCTCGCCATGGAATGGGGCCGCCACGGCATCCGCGTCAACAGCCTCTGCCCGGGCCACATCATCACCCCGATGGTCGACATGGTTTTTCAGCAGAACCCGGCCGCCCGTGCAACCTGGGAGGCAGAGAACATGCTCGGCCGCCTCGCCGTCCCGGAGGAGTTCCGCGGCGCTGCCCTCTTCGCTCTCAGCGATGCCAGCAGCTTCATGACGGGTAGTACCTTGCTGATCGACGGCGGCCATACCGCCTGGTAGTTCTCAGAACAGATTAATATAATTGATTTCTTTTTGGTATTGAATGTTTTGATTCGATCCTGTCAGCAATTATAGGCTAAAGCGATTCAAAATAAAAAGGTTCTAAGGGAAACATGGCTTGTCCATTATTCAGTGTCCAGATGGCTGGCGGTGACCGCCGTATCCAGGCCGAGACTATCATTCGAGCTTCCAAAGTCCAGCTTCATGAGCAGTCGATCCACACCGGCCGGCTTGCGCGGTACGTATTCACAGATGCTGGTGGGCAGGGAGGAAGCGACACCACCCTGACCCGTGCCTTTGGCGAGCCCAAAGAAGATCCGGCGGCTATCGGACGACCTTTTGTCGTCGATCTCTCGCAGCCGAGCCACTACGGCTTTGATACCCCCTTCCACCTGGATGCGTGTCTTGCGCAGTTCATGCCACACCCCCTTTTCCTCACCTGAATAGTCAATCAATGCATCGACAACACCTTCATCAGTCTCCAAGTCCATGTTCTTCTGGATGCTCTCGAGTCTAACCACGAGTGCGATGAAATGATCCACGCTAGCGAGAAAAGAACGGAGCGCCGCGGTGAAGGGGGTATCCGTGAGAAACATGGCTTGGACGAGCGATGCAAGATAAAGTCGATGGGCCATTGTCAGCGCCTCTGGGTCGTGCTGTTGTGGAGGTGAGTCTGATAGACTCCCTGAAGAGTAAGTATTCCTGTGAACAGCGGTATTCGCTGTCCCCGGACGAGAATTCGGGCGTGACCCTGATTTGCCTGAGTTCCCTTCTATCCAATCCCGAAAATGCTGCCACGAGCCATTGACAACCTCTCCTTGGAAAAAGCTTCCAATCTCCGATAAAATAAATATAGAGGCATTGCACGTTGCCCAGACAGGTCTCATCTGGGCAATGCGGGCATTGTCTCTTTCTCTGCTCATTTTCAGCCTGTGCTGTCCGAACGGCTTGTTGCTGCGTGGTGGGCCCCAGGGCGACGGATGGCTTCTTCGTAGAGGGGTATGCTTCCACAAACTACTGAGACGGATCTGGGAGCGCCGGATTCCTAGGAGATATGCGCTGATTCTCGAATAGACGGAGATATCAGAAGCTGAAAGGAAAAGGTCTAAAGGGGCTCGCACTTGCAGCGACAGGGTTGTCGGCGTAGGGAAAAGGAGATCGTTGAAAGCAACCTCGGAGATTTCGCTTGTTGAGAGACTCCCAACAACGTCTTGCGTGGAAGTTGTCACATGATCGGGTATCTGAGAGGTGACATTGAGTCGGATCAGCCCCCGAGCAAGATCCAGTTCATCATCGGCCGATTCCTCCTCGTTTTGCAGGGAATATAACTCGGTCCAGGTCTGTGTTAGTACTGCCATAACATCGCCTTCTTTAACGACAATGTCCTCAAGGTCCTCGGGGCCGTTCAACCGGGAGGGACGAATTTCACTTCTTTGGTGTCTTTCGTATACCCGTGCATCTGCGTGGGAAACAAGTGCCATGGCAAATTCTCCACGTCCCAAGAGAACAAAGTCATGGAGCAAAGACAAGACCTCAAGGATCTTGGGCAGTGGAAGCAGCTTAGAAAGGGTGGTTTGGGATAATGACAGTCGGATGGAGGTTATGGCATTGGATAATTCCGACGTGGAGATAGGAGACTTGAGGCCAGACAGAGAGCCAAGATGCTCCTTATATAGGTTGACTGAAGACGTCAGATGAGCAGTAGAAGCACTGGAAACACCGGTCTTTCGTTTTGCTCTAATATGATTCAAGGATTTCCCAATAAATAAAATTGAAGATGCAGTTAGCGGGGATACAAACTTCGGAAGAAACTCGGCATGCATAACAAACTGAGCCATTCCCGAGAGGCCCTCTCCGTCAGCTGGGATATCCTGTTGGACAAAGAAATCTTCTTTCCCAAACAGGGGCAAGTTGCCGTAAAGAAGCCACATTGATAGTTGCTTCATCCATGCCATCTCAGCTGCAGTGACCAATTGCCGTGCCATTTCTTCTAGGTCACTATATCCCGTTTGTAACTCGACGCGCAGATGATCGATGAGGGCAGCACCAGTACAACTAACTGGCCTTCGACCTTTCTGGTGCTCAGGGAGGATGAATCGGACAATCTCCCAGAGCCATTCCATTCGTCGAACCCAAGGGGCAAACTCGCCAACCATGGTAGACAGCGGCACAATACCGTATCCGCCCACATACGCGCTGTCTTCGAGGAGTATCGATTTCTCGACCTGGATGACTTTGGCTTGAAACCCCGCCAAGTGTTCGGTTGAAATTGCCGTCGACACCGCCCGACATATCATCGATGGATGAGAGGAAGAGATATCGGATGTATGTTTGCGCAACATTGCATGCAGCCGACTCAACCGGGCGAGTGACACGAGGAGCGCCTTCTCCGGGGGGGACAAGAGGGGGAAACCATCCTGAGAAAGGGTATCTTCGTCCGACTGCAGGTTGAATAAGGGTGACGGCTGTCCGGAGAGGGAGAGGAGGATCTCATGGAGCATTCTGACGTACAGTCCCTATAATTCTCACTAGTTCTTTCGTCATAAGTCTGCCATCAAATGCATGTAGATTCCGAGGCTCTCCAAGATCAAATGTGCGTAGCTTACCTCGAGGGCGAATTCCGTCTCCGTCGCGTCTTTCGACGCTGCCAAAACAGCAGTGCACTGCCTAACAGTTCAAACCGACACATATACTTAGAAATTCCTTGGACTCATGGCCGTCGATCGCGTCGCGTCGCAGTCTCGCAGCGGGGTAACTGACGCCCGAAAGAAGCAAGAGACTGGAACCAGCTAAACGAAGATCCGTCTTCAAACCGGTTACCAGCGGGGAAACACCTTGTCGCTTGATGATGAATGAGTCCTTGGGAGTGTTTTCTGAGCAAGGACGCTGAGAGCTTCACGCGTCAAGCAACCAAGGTCCAACGGTCAACGGTCAACCAGGGAATGGTCACCTGACTAGCTACTGTTGCCTTATTGCCTTAGAAGTTACTCCGTACGGCGTAGTGCCACAGTCCAAAAGGCGGCAGAGGATCGATTGACGTCAGTCGGACAAGCTGTTCTGCCGGCAGAATGGGCGTCTTCCCCTTTCTAGTACTTTGTGTTCCTCCAACCTCTGACCGTCTCAGAAAACAATGGCAAGCTTATTGATACGATGTTATAGCTTGCATTACATTTTGAAATTATCTTGAATAGGTCAATACTCAGGATACTTCAGCACTAATGCAAGAGAGACAGGACTGATGACCACTGCTTATACAGCGAAAGCATGCCCGTTGAATGTGAGAGATCATATTCACACGTCTCGAAGGCCTCTCTTATCTAGCAGCTTTGAACAGAGAAGGGAATCTTAAAAAAGCCTACGAAATCTCCAACCTTTGGGGAGAGGGGACGCCAAAATAGGTCCTATACGCTGAGACTCAAGAGTCAAGAGACATCGCTATGTGGAGAGAACTCTTGGTTTCAAGGTCATAAATGTGGATTTGGGGAGACAGGAGCGAGCTTACGAAATACCCAGCGTTCCTTGAACGGCGCCACGTTGAAGATTAGTATCATGCACTTCCCTTCGCCGAAAGCTTCCTGCTGGCTAGTGGCATGACGGCTGTCGTCGCTAACTTGGTAATGGCACAGGAATATGAGCACGAATATGACTGGCCTCGGGTGTCACCCGAAAAGAGTGTTTTTGATGCCTCCCGATACCTTCGTGGTATCCGTTGGGGCGTACTAAGTAGGTATTGCTGGAGAATCGAGATATTCCCACGCTCTAAAAGAGTGAACGACTCCCACCAACATCATCTGATTGAGAGTATTTAGTATATCTAGATGAGGAAAACTGACCACCAGTCCAGAATATTCTCGGCATGGCCTTTGTAACACGTAGAATCACCCTCTCATAGAAAATTCTCATTAATACTGCTGGCGCGGGGCTGTCAAGGCTGCGGTGTCCCCACCACCAATCAGCGCTATCAATACGCTGAGTCAGCACATCAGCTTGTCCCCTCTTACGTCGAGACAAGAACAAACCGTCAGTTTCCATCTTCATTGCTCATCCTTCTGTTTCGCCTTCTGTGGCTATTCCATCTTGCTGATAAATCAACCACGCTGGGCTATCTCTAACTCTGTCGCCTGGGCAGGTTCTCAAGGTCTTTTCTCCAGTTCCTACTTTGGCACTACCTTGACCGTGCTTGCCCGCTCTTCACCTGCTCCGCCCCTCATCCCTGAGAGTCTACACACGAAGCTGTAGACACCCTCTGCAACCTTTGGAAAGTCTTGCTTGAGGCAGGGCTTTCTCTTTCAGCCTTCAATATTCCTTCCGATCTCGTTGTTCGTGAGGCTCCCAAGCCAGGAAAGCGTCGGGCGTCCAGCGACCAAGAAGCGGCTCGCCCAGAAAAAAGAACGATGGCAGTGCGTTGAGTGGTTAAGCTTAGCTTTTTGCATTGACTAGCCATCTAACTAGCTATAGGACACTCAGATGCAGGTCGACAGCCCTAAGGGCACCCTGGAGGCCATCAAGCAGGGGGAGATCGATGAGGCGTTGTACAGTCGACAGCTGTAAGTGGTGGCGAGAGCTTGCTTGCTCCATCGTGTATTATCAGCTGACCACACACCTAAAGGTATGTTCTTGGGCACGAGGCGATGAAGCGTATGGGCTCTTCGAATGTCTTAGTCGTCGGTCTTAAAGGTCTTGGTGTCGAGATTGGTAAGCATGGTTATAGAAGCTTCAACAGACCCCACACTAACGCCTATGTCCAGCCAAGAATATCGCACTCGCCGGTGTCAAGTCCCTTACCCTATTCGATCCCGCTCCGGTCGCCATCGCCGATCTATCCTCCCAGTTCTTCCTCCAGACGCAAGATGTTGGCAAGCCGCGCGCCGAAGTTACAGCTCCGAGAGTCGCGGAGTTGAACTCATACGTTCCCGTGACTGTTCACAGCGGAAAGAGCCTGGTGGACGATATTGAGCAGCTAAAGCGCTACCAGGCGATTGTTCTCACTTCTACCCCGCTGAAAGAGCAACTCCTTATTGCAGAGTTTTGCCACGCCAATGGAATCTACTTGACCGTCACAGACACATTCGGCCTGTTTGGTTACCTGTTCAACGATTTTGGAAAGAATTTCACCGTCGGTGATCCTACTGGAGAAGAGCCTGTCAACGGAATCATTGCGGACATCGATGAGGACGGGTTAGTGTCTGCTCTTGATGAGACCCGACATGGCCTGGAAGATGGCGACTTTGTGACATTTACCGAGGTCAAGGGCATGGATGGTCTTAACAACTGTGACCCCCGCAAGGTGACTGTAAAGGGCCCATACACCTTCTCCATCGGTGATGTCTCCGGACTGGGCTCCTACAAAGGAGGCGGTATCTTTACGCAAGTCAAGATGCCCAAATTTGTCGACTTCCAACCTCTCAGTGAACAGCTTAAGAAGCCCGAATTCGTGATCTCTGATTTCGCCAAATTCGATCGTCCCCAGCAGCTTCATGTTGGCATTCAAGCCCTCCACCAATTCGCTACTGCTCATGAAGGTCAATTTCCTAGACCTCACCATGACGGCGATGCACAGGAAGTGCTCAAGATAGCCACAGAGCTCGCTGCTGCTGGAGATGAGAAGGTAGAGCTTGACGAGAAGCTTATCAAGGAGCTCAGCTACCAGGCCCGTGGTGACCTCAGTCCTCTTGCAGCTTTCTTTGGTGGCATCGCCGCGCAAGAGGTCTTGAAGGCAGTCTCTGGAAAGTTCAACCCGGTCAACCAGTGGCTCTACTTTGACTCCTTGGAATCTCTACCCACCTCGGTCACCCGCTCAGAAGAGAACTGCAAGCCACTCGGCACCCGCTACGATGGACAGATTGCCGTCTTCGGCAAGGACTTCCAAGACAAGATTGCCAACCTCAATCAGTTCCTGGTCGGTGCAGGGGCCATTGGTTGTGAGATGTTGAAGAACTGGGCCATGATTGGTCTTGGAACTGGGCCAGAGGGTAAAATCAGAGTCACGGATATGGACCAAATTGAGAAGAGCAACCTGAACCGTCAGTTCTTATTCCGCCCCAAGGACGTGGGCAAGCTGAAGAGCGAATGTGCTTCGGCTGCTGTCGAGTCCATGAACCCCGACCTACGGGGTAAGATCGTAACTCTGCGTGACCGGGTCGGACAGGACACCGAACACGTTTTCAACGAGGAGTTCTGGACAGAGCTTGATGGTGTCACCAACGCCTTGGACAATGTCGATGCGAGAACTTACGTCGATCGCCGCTGTGTTTTCTTCCGTAAGCCTCTTCTGGAGAGTGGAACCCTCGGCACGAAGGGCAATACCCAAGTAATCCTTCCTCATGTCACCGAGTCCTACTCCAGCTCTCAAGATCCGCCCGAGAAGTCGTTCCCCATGTGCACGCTGAAGAGCTTCCCGAACCGGATTGAACACACCATTGCCTGGGGTCGCGATCTCTTCCAGACTTATTTCGTTGGGCCGCCCGAGGCTGTCAACATGTATCTTTCTCAGTCGAACTACATTGAGCAGACGCTCAAGCAGGCCGGCAATGAGAAGCAGACCCTCGAGCACCTTCGAAGCTTCTTGGTGACTGATAAGCCCCTTACCTTTGATGACTGCATTGCATGGGCCCGCAACCAGTTTGAGTCCCAGTACAACAACGCCATCCAGCAACTGCTCTACAACTTCCCGCGCGACTCTACCACTTCCAGTGGTCAGCCTTTCTGGTCTGGTCCCAAGCGTGCTCCCACCCCCCTGAAGTTCGACAGCTCGAGCCCCACCCATCTCGGGTTTATTGTCGCTGCAGCCAATCTGCACGCCTTTAACTATGGTATCAAAAACCCTGGTGTCGATAAGGAATACTATCGGAAAACCGTTGACAACATGATCATTCCTGAATTCGTCCCTAGTTCCAGTGTCAAGATCCAGGCCGACGATAACGAGCCTGATCCGAATGCCCAGCCCTCTGGCTCCTCATTCGACGATGGCGAGGAAATTAAAGGGCTGGTTGCCTCTCTGCCATCGCCCAAGTCTCTCGCTGGCTTCCGCTTAAACCCTGTGGAGTTCGAGAAGGACGACGATACCAACCACCATATCGATTTCATCACTGCTGCCAGTAATCTCCGGGCGGAGAACTACGATATCCCCCAGGCAGATCGCCATAAGACCAAGTTTATCGCAGGCAAGATCATTCCTGCGATTGCCACCACCACCGCCCTCGTCACTGGTTTGGTTGTTCTCGAACTGTACAAGATCATCGACGGCAAGACCGACATTGAACAGTACAAGAACGGCTTCATCAATCTGGCCCTCCCGTTCTTCGGCTTCAGTGAGCCTATTGCTAGCCCCAAAGGCACCTACCAGGGCAAGAAGGGCGAGGTCACCATTGACCGCCTGTGGGACCGCTTCGAAGTGGACGACATTCCCTTGCAAGACTTCATCAAGCACTTTGCTGACCTTGGCCTGGAAATATCTATGGTCAGCTCTGGAGTTAGTCTTTTATACGCTAGCTTCTACCCTCCGTCTAAAGTGAAGGATCGCCTTCCCCTACCGTATGTTATACTATCTATCCTCTTCCCTCTCACCTTTTTCCGAAAACATCAGCTAACAGGATGGTAAAAAAAAAAAACAGGATGAGCAAGTTAGTGGAGCATATTAGCAAGAAGCCTGTTCCCGAGCATCAGAAGAACATCATCTTCGAAGTCACTGCCGAAGATCAGACGGAGGAGGACGTTGAGATCCCATACGTGATGGTCAAGCTTAGGAAGTAAAGGCATAGTTAGTGGATGTCTCTCTCTCATATCAACAGATCAAAGGCGAGTCAAAGTTAGGAGCGTGTAGTCCAATAGAAGAAATCACTATTCTCCAATCCAGAGTTTCGATACTCTTTCTTTTCTATTCTATTGTACAGCATTTGCAGTCCGATCAGAGGGTCTAGAGCTTCAGGTTCAGTTAAAATTAGTATTACTAACGTGTTGCGGAAGTATTACAGTTTATCTAATCCGCCGAATAATGCTTTGTCACTGACCCGTAAGCAACGCACGTCATAGAAAGAGGTCTCCACAGTTCTTCAATTGAAGCAGATGAGCTGAGAATTTGTCTTTCCTGAGCAAGCAATTTATAAATGCCAAGGAAGAGTCTCTATATAATCTCTGCTCTATCTTTTTCCTTCTCATGCTCACTACTCTCCTCTTCCAAAGTCAACGGGTCTCTCACCTTCTAAACTCTATAAACAGCAGTGCGGGGTTCCTCACCAAAGCTCCCATATCCTCCACCACCACCACCATCAGATTCACTGTGCCAACCCGAGCGATGTCGGTAAGCAGGGACTTTTTGCCCGTTCAATCAATCAAGGCGTCCGCAGGGAAAGAATAGTGTTCTAACTACACCCTCACTTATAGACATCAACCAAGATCACCGACTGGGTGCATCCCAATGACAAGTCTGGTGAATTCAAACGCCAGCAGTCCGTGTTTCGGAATTGGATTTCGAGGAAGCCAGGGGCAGAGTTTCCTCCTGAGAAAGACCGCTATCATCTTTATGTCTCCTATGCTTGTCCATGGGGTATGGTTGTGCAATGATTCGGTCGTACCCTTGAGAGCGCAACCCTGATTGACTCTTTTTACTCTTTTATAGCTCATCGGACGTTGATCGTGCGGAAACTCAAGGGACTGGAGGATATTGTCTCATTTACCTCCGTGCATTGGCATATGGCAGAAAAAGGTGCGTGGGTTTTTGCATCCGACGTGTTTCCTTCTAGTGATGTTAACTAACCTAATCCACCCATGTCTAGGCTGGAGATTCGCAACCTCGGATGAGAAACTGCCTGGAGAGAATGTCACCGGCGATCCTTTGCATCCTGGATTCAGCCATCTTCGCGATGTATATTTCTCCGTAAATCCAGAATACGAAGGCCGGTTCACCGTCCCGACTCTTTACGACAAGAAGACGAAACAGATCGTGAGCAATGAGGTAAGATCTACCCAGTTCTAATCCACTGGTTTTGTAATCGATGAATCCAGGCTGACTACGTCATCAGAGTTCTGAAATCATTCGCATGTTCTACACTGAGTTCGATGACCTCCTCCCAGATGAGTACAAGAAGGTCGATCTCTTTCCGACTGCGCTGCGCAGCGAGATCGAAGCGGCCAACGAATGGATCTACAACGACGTCAACAACGGTGTGTACAAATCCGGATTTGCAACCACCCAGGAAGCGTATGAGAAGGCCGTGGCGACGCTCTTCTCCTCACTCGACCGGATCGAGGCCCATCTCGCCTCCCGCCAAACTTCAAGCGAGCCCTCTCCGTTCTACTTCGGCTCCTCCGTGACCGAGGCGGACGTCCGCCTCTTCACGACCATCGTCCGCTTCGACCCCGTCTACGTCCAGCATTTCAAATGCAACATTCGTGATATCCGCTCCGGGTACCCTGCTATCCACCGCTGGTTGCGCTATCTCTACTGGAATGTGCCGGCCTTCCGCGACACCACCAACTTCGAGCACATCAAGTACCACTACACCAAGAGCCATAAGCAGATCAACCAGTTCGCCATCACGCCCGTGGGGCCCGTCCCGGATATCCTGCCTCTTGATCAGGAAGTGGCCGCTGTTCTGAAACAGTAGAGCGATACAAAACACACAAGAAAATTAAACTATATGAAATAACTATAACCTGTACTTGTTGAAATGTCGACCTGGTAATCAGCAATTATTTGGACTGGATTATTTCAAGCATCCATGTTGCGCTATATCTACTCAAACAAGCCTCGGTATGGAATATGTAGATTTATACTTGGGCCAAACTACCCAGGACCAGGTATATGGCTGAACCATGCCAACTCGGCTGTCAGACAAAAGACAGCGCCAAGTAACTATGGTCCAAGAAATGAGACAAAAGTAAAAGCAGCAACTCATATGCCTTTCACGTAGTGACGGAGAGGGAAAAAACGCCTTAGTAATGCTTATTTGTCCTTCCCCCCCCCTCTATTCCTGAGCCTAGAGATTCGAAGCCAGTCTCAAAGGACAAGGCTCGTAGACTTACTCCGAGGGGGGGGAGGGGGAAGTGTGAGATGATATGCAGGGAACACGTGGGAAATGAACACAGGGTGATGAAGAAGGTTTTTGATGATTCCCTCGGTAGGGAGCCAGGATCAATGGGTGATGATCGATGGGTATCTTTGAGTCTAGATAGTAAGCAGAAAGCAAAAGAAAGAAAGGAAACAAAACAGAATTAGATAGCTTAGGTTGGAAGGTGTTTCAAGAATGGTGAAGTTGAAGCGATGCGAGCTTATGCGCTGCCCATGATCATCTTAAGCCCAGCATCCGTTTGGAGTTTTCATACACAACGTAGCTGATGGAGACTGCCGGTGCGACTTTGAGAAGGTTTGGCGTCAAGCCTCGGAAGAGGCCTCGAATACCCTCTGCTTTGATGGTTCTCCGAGCTACATCGCCGATTCCACTATATGTGGCAGGGTGAAGAACAGTTCCTTGGGCCTGTAGTCTTGTCCGAAGAACGTTCAACGGATAGACAATCGACGCGCTGGTCGCACCGCTTATTGCGCCGATAGCTCCTGTTGCAAAATTGCTGATGGGAGCATCTTCCTCGTGGCAATTGGCAAGGCGAGCTTTTCGAGCGGTAAGAGCTCGTTTAAGATATTCAAACGTAGTGAGGTCGATGGCCGCGTATGGAAACATGCCGACAAGGCCAAGCGGCAAGCCGCGGAAAAATGCGTACAAGCCATTTGTTTTCCACATCTTTTTTGCTGTGGCTGCGATAAGCTGAGTTCCTCTCAAGCCTCCTTCAACAGTCTCGCATTGCATTCGACTGTGGATCGGAGATGAGCATGATTTCTTTTCATAGCGGGCAATTGCAGGACACTCACAACTTCAACGTATCAAGAGGGTAGACGAAGCACCTAGGTCAATTGTTAGAGCGGGTCAACGGGGGCTGGATTGTCAAGAGTAACACACTGGGCAACCATTCCACCAAAACCGCCACACAAGAACTGAGATGTTGGCAGAAGTCTTTTGGTGTCATTGTGGCCTTCAAGTCTAGCGAACGCCCTTTTCGCAGCCTGCTCAATGTCAGCACCTCTTCTGCTCAGAGGTCGTCCGTATTTCCGTACCTCATATGCACCGAATTTGATGGCCGATTCCGGCATCACTTTCACCACGTTCAACCCATTGCCTGGGCTGATCAGATATTAAATCCAATGACAGGTGCTTATATTCAAAACCAACCTGCAAAAAGGCTCCGAATTCCACCAACGCGCCACAGCTCTTTAACAGCATCCACTAATTGCCGATGCGCTTTTTTCACCGGTGCTCCGTTTTGAGTTGCTTTCGCTCCCTGGTTCTCTGTCCCAATTTTGGCGATCAGATAGACTTTAAGACGATCGAAAGGCGCCGTCGCGGTCCGGGATATAGCACCTGCGATCCCGCCAGCGAGGAAATAACCTAATTGAGGGGTATTTTCCGTCAACTTCTGTTCATAATATCGAATAGACATCCATATCGCTACAAGCGGAGGGATTGGTAGCCATTCGAGCTCAAAATCTCCATCTATGGAAACATATTCAGTCCCGAATGATACACCTGGGCTCGCGCCCCCGCAGGATTCCGCATATACCGACGGAATAAATGTCTCGAGGGCGTGTAGGCAAAGAGTTTTGTACAAAAAACCCCTCAGGGCTAATATATAACGTTTAGGAAACGAGTGGTCTGTACCTAAACCCTGCAGATCATTGATGTTGACATCTCCTTCCGGGTTTAGATTTCCCGTTGCCGTGTAGTATGACAGAACAGCGCGCAGGTCGTATGATGACTCTGCAGGGAGAAAGAGGAGGAAATCCCTAGGGTCGATCAGTATGAACCTCGCGTGATTCTAGGCTGACTTGAAAAAGTCATACCTCCATTCCTCAAACGATATCACGCCGTCTTTGTTCGTATCCACCTCTTCGAAGAAAGCGTCCAGCTTGGAATTCGAAACGATAACCCCGGATTTCGCGAATGCCGCCTTCAGTTCAGCTTTGTCAATTTCCCCATTATGGTTCCGGTCGATCTTCTGGAACATTTGCCATAGCCCAGTCTCGGTGTGATTGATGAAGACGCGGAATTCTGGGCACGATTAGGTTCACAGAGCGGAGAGTGATGGAGAGAAAAGAGAAGGAGGGCAGTCGGAGGAATGCAGACTGCACCTAGCCCTCCAAGGGTATCATCATCAGCAGCAGTCTTACCAGAAAAATCGATATATCCATCCTCGTTTGTATCCACGGCTCGGAGAACGTCAGTAAGCATCGAATCGGCATTCTTTAGTGCTGTGGTTTAAGAAGCCAGTGGTTAGCAAGCGAAAAATTCACATTAACTTGATACATCTCGGCCGCAAACTCACGGTGATCAATCTTCCTCAGGCCCTTTTTTAGGCCGTTCAGATCAACATGACCCTCCCTGCGAGTGTCGAGTGTCTCCCAAAGCCTGGCAAGTCTTTTATCGCGTTCATCTTCGGACTCGCCGGTCGCCATATTTTAAGGTCCAATTACTAGCGGGCAGTCGTCATTATTTTCTTTCCTTTCCTAGGGAGGGCTGACAGGTTTCTCTTTACAAAGAACCCTGTCGCGGCAGGGAACGGCAGGCAGTGATAGTAATTGACTGGGCATCGAAGCAGAGCTGATAACAACAAACCCAGCCGAAGTCTGTGGCGGGGGAGGGGGCGAGCAAGAGCTACTGCCGAATGAAGTTCACGATAATTGCGTTGACTCTTGACGACATAACCCGGATAAAAACCGGGCTCCGGCTCGGAAAGCACGGGACCATGGCTATCTCTGCTGCTACCATTCCTATTTGGGAACCCCGTCGGGTCAGGTGTCATCAACAGCATCAACAATCTTTCGGTCTGAAGGAACAACAGTGCGGCGGTATTGGACCTGATGTCGGTGCCAGCGACCTCCTACAGGTGATAACTTCGGGTGATCTCGTCTCTCACGAAGGACTGTTCTCATCTGCTGAGGATTCCCCCGCAAGATCGTTTCCCCGCAGACACTCCCGAAATCTCACGAGAATCGAAATCGAGGCATGGTCTAAGCGGGATACTATCATCGGACAGGCTGATAAATCATCGGTTTACCATGGCAGCCAACTATTGGGTGTCAACACAGCGCCGTCACTGGCTCTTCTCCCGAGAGGGGCTGGTTGATGTTCGCGAGAAGCTGAGGGAGAAAGACAAGTTGTCTCACACACAGTTTCCATTGCCGGACCAACGACTACTGAACATATATTTCAATCAACGTGAGAGGATATATATATACAGGCTGAGAGTATCCTAGCTGACTTTTTTGCCCGTAGAACTCACAAAGCTAGGCAAACGGATGTCCACCAGACAACAAGCACTAGCAACGGCTCAAGTCTACATTAAGAGGTTCTACACCAAGAATGAAATCCGGCATACGAATCCCTATCTCGTCTTGTCGACGGCGTTCTACCTTGCCTGTAAAATGGAAGAGTGCCCTCAGCACATTCGATTCGTCGTCGGCGAAGCCCGAGGACTCTGGCCAGGTATGACTTGGGACTTCCGAGACAGGCAAATCAGATGTTCGCATCACTAAAAGGCCGGTAGATTTCATCACTTCGGACGTTGCCAAGCTGGGGGAGTGCGAGTTTGCCCTGATATCCGAAATGAATTCACAGCTTATCGTCCATCATCCGTACCGAACATTGTCAGAACTACAGCCCGAGCTATCGTTGACCTCGGATGAAGTGGCTCTTGCATGGTCAGTGATAAATGACCACTATCTTACTGACCTACCGCTGTTGTATCCCCCTCATGTAATTGCTGTCATGGCAATTATCATTGCTGTCGTCTTCAAACCCAGTCAAACGAGCTTCCATGGGTCCGGTCCGCCGCCCTTGGCTGGAGCGATGAGAGACGGAGCAGGAATGAATATTCTCGCCGCGCTAGGAGAGAAAGGTGCCTCCGGCCCTCCACCACGAATCCAGAAGCTCGTCGGCTGGATTGCAGAAAGCGAAGTCGATATCAAAGCTGTAATCGAATGCACGCAGGAACTCGTGTCTCTATACGAGGTATGGGAGCAGTACAGTGAGAAAACGTGCAAGGAATTGATCGGAAGAGTCGTCAAAAGCAAAAACTTGGACAAGTAACGTCCTCACGGTTCGAATTGTGTTTACGATACAGAATGCAAGGGACGTCGTTTCTGCCGGGCATTCAATGTCTTACCCTGCCATCAAACAAACACCTTACTTGAAAAGGCTAGAGGGCTTTCAACCGGAGGAAGAGATGTTAAACATACACACTATCTTCTCATTCCCGTAACGGTTTACAATATGAGTGTCCTGGCGAACATGAAGTATTGCTCGCTTCGGTATTCATTGATGCGCTCAAGATGAAGATTTCGTCTTATATCATCAATACAACGGTTGTTCTCGGGTTGCCGACTGGGTCCAAACTAGAGTATGTGCAGATGGATTGCATGGTATCATGTTCTATGATCCTGGAGCATGCTCATGGGCCTGGACGGAGTCAGGGACTGTGCACATAGAGAGTCATGACATGCATGATACCGCTCAACCATGTGTACGAGTCTCGATCATCGATCAATCTGAGCTAAGCATACAGTGACTCTCGATCACTGGAATGCTAGAATTCAATCATTTCAATTTGAAAGCCAATATACAGGGGGGGGTTTTTTTTCAATCTACGATACACCGTGGTACATACCTACTCCGACACCTTCAAGTTCTTGGTTGCCTTCTTTATCATTTCGGAATTGCCAGCCTATTCCTGGTATTCCATCAAGGGCGTGGGTAGGAGGCTGGGGGTTTCACTCCGAAAGGGCCCGACTGCCCTTGGAATTCAATCTACAGGGATTTACCCCGATTCCCTCACAAAAGCGAACATGGCCTTTCCCTCACCAAATATCTTTCCACGCATGTTCTAGTCGTCGTCTAGCTTACCGCACTTCAGTGCATAACCATGGAATGCATTGAAGTTATCTATCTACCTAGTATCTAGTTACTAGTAGAACGTTTACTATCTACCCTAACTACCCGACGATTTCGGTTAGGTAGGTACCTATCTTAAGAACAACTGGGTATTTACGGGCCCTCCGTCACTCACTAGTTAGTTAACTAACTTGGTCATGGGGTATTTATGTAGGTAGTAAGCGCCTACTGAAACCAGACCCGTGGCAGGTTGTCTAGCTCGTGTCTTGTATGCCACCCCATCCCTTTGCCAAGACAAACATCCCTCGCCAAATCTTTAGACAACACCAGGAACGTTCCGGAGATTCTGCAAGGTGTGTGCACTACTCCATACTCCGTATGCATAGTGAGCAGCCTGTCTGTTCGGAAGATTTACGGGAGTACTAGCCTCCAGGGGTAACTACATCTACGTCAGTGTCAGTGTTGAGTATTTATGTAGGAATTATACTATTCTGTCCCACCAATGGAGCAGATCAGATAAATACAACTAGACTTGGTAGTCGATCCTCGTGGTCTCGTAATAATGATGAATTCATCACACCATGAGAATATGTACACTACCCAGATAAAGTTTATCGAATGCAGGAGCAGGAGACAATCATCAAAAAGGCGGTGAGGATGGGTGAGTCGACAGTCCCGTGACTATGCTCAGCCCACTCAGCACTGAGCACTCAGCGAGCATTCTGCACCGCCACTCCTAGCTATGTAGGTAGTCATTACATGTAACTGTACCAGGTAGTTAACAGGTACCTAGTTAGTTACCTAGTATTACTGTTCTGTATAATTATACCGTTTCTGCAAAGTAATCTGCAGAGCAAGTACCTACTCCGTCTCTGGGGCAGTGACGACGACGTAGGACGGAGTAGTCCGTAGGAGCAAGCGACAACTGGTGATCTGGGTTCTGAACCAAGCCCTGTTGGCCGCCGAAACCATCCAATCCCCCCTGAACGCATCGACCAGTCTCCTGCAGAGCATATGTGGGGGGAACATGCTAACTGGTCCTTGCGCCGACCTCTCACTGCAGGTGCCTGACAGTTGGAGGGAGGGAAAACATGCAGTCGGAAAGTAGGAGATGCAAGGCGCTCAAAATGTGGCACGATCGGCTACCTACTCCGTAGTGGTATTAGGGACAGACGTATTTCAGGCTAGGTATTTAGTTACGATACAGCGAAGCTTAACTAAAGCTAAGGTACTCCATACTATTTCAATATTGATATTAATATTGAATTAATATATTCTACCTGTCTTTGGAATATTTCTATAATTATTCTACTCCATTCCCTATGGATTATCCAGGAGTGAAACAAATAACGGTATCTTCCTAGGTACTTACTAGGAGGTATCTAGTTAGGTAGTACCTAGTTATGTCAAATACCTACCTACCTAACTCCCTAGATAGATACCTACCTATGTAGCAGTACCTTGGTAACTACTTCATACTCAAGTACCAGTGATTGAAACTCGACTGTTACCATACGTACTGGTAGTATGCGCCGAGACCAAAGCAGCCAACTGCCGTACGGAATACGGACGGCCAGACTCAATGACGATGCAGCATTGGCCATCTGCCAGTCAAATCGAGAGGATCAAATATCGGGCGTCTAAAACAGCTTAGTCGCTCAGCCTAGTCGCCGTCTACGGTCATTCGTGCAGCACCTTCATTGGTCCTCTTTAGCCTGGAAAATGCTGCTGGACTCCACTATGACCAACTCTTGGAATCTCCATTGGCTAAGGATCCTCCCATCGCCACTGAGCAGCGGCCAACGATCTCGGGTTGGGGCTGTTTCTGGCTGGTGCGTGACCTGCTTGTTGTTGGGCTGTGACAATACCGTTCCATCCCTCTAGGCCTCTTTGGGCGAAGCTTTACCACGCCAAACCCAATGCATACGACCTTTTTTGTTACCATACGAAATACCTAGTACCTAACCTGTCTTCCATACCATTCATTACGCTTAGGTACAATCACAACCCTGGCCATCTCCACCGGCATCCACCCACTCACAGTCTCAGCCTTGAGCAGAAAAAAAAAGCCCCTCTTGCTTTCGCCTCCCGTCCGCTCCGGCCTGGCTCTCTCGACCTCTTTTTCTCATCGTCTTGTCCCGCCTTTCTGCGTTAAACCCCCCTCCCCTCCTCCCTATCCCACACAACTAACTACTTACCCTGCTAAACTGATCTCCCGCAATCTCTCCCTCCCCCCCAACCTTCTCTCCTCCTTTCTCTTTCATCCATCCCCTAGAAACACTTTCGATCTTCTTTCCATTATCTACGTTTTCTTTATTTAAAAAAATTAACACTGCCTGCCACCCACCATCTGATTCTCTCATCGCCACTCGTCCGTCTCCTTTGTGACTCCGCCACCAGTGTTTGTTGTCCTCGAAGGACCGACCGCTTGTTTTCCGTTTCGTCGTCAAATAATACAACATATACAATACCTCTCTACTACTGCTTTCAAGATGTCAACGTTCTTCTACGGCCAGCATCAGCAGCATCACCACCAGCAGCAACAGCATCATCATCATCACCATGGTGTCGCCGCCCATGCTGCATCGAATTCGAACAACCACCACCGCCCCCGTCGAGGCCCCAAGGTCGCAGCTCAGAACGCTCAGCGCCAGTTTCGCGGCGTCAAGAGCATGCGAGAGTTGGCTGAGGCTCCCGCCGTCACGGCTTTCCGTGCGAGATTCGAGGCTGGACGGTCTTTCGACCTGGACGACGACCTGGAGTTCTGCCCCGGTCTGTTGACAGAGGACGATGTATGTTCATGACGATCGGTCCCTCTCCTCTCCTCTCCCCCCCATAGAGGATGGAAACTCCCCCAAATTCCCCTTAGACGCGCAGGAATGGTGTGTATTGACTTGGATTCTTTCTTCCCGCGGCAGCTGCACTCGATCCATTCCACCTCGTCCGATCGCTCATCGCTCTCGAGTGGCTCCCCCGACTCGTCTCCTCTCCAGCATCAAATCCAACCTGTCCAACAGGTCACACCATCCATCTCTCTCTCCCCGACTTCGACTAATTCCTACGTGGCTGCCGGCGTCGCCAATAATCTTAATCAGATGAGCTACCAGCAACCTTCGGCAATCCGCACCCGCAAAGTTATTCCGATCGTCAACCCTCACACTGGAATGACCCTTGCCAGCCCACCCACCTCGATCTCCCCCGGTGTGATGCAGAATCAGCGCCGATGGTGAGAACGTCACGTGCCTCGTCCCGGCGTCAGGTGCTTCCAGGGCTTCCTTCACGCCTTTGCCATGGTCTCTACCGGGTAGTCGTCTTTTTTTTTCCTTCATCACCAGGGATCCCTAACCGCGGGTAATTTTATTCTTGCTCTTCTCTGTTGTCTTTTTTTTATCCGATACGGCCATCGCATTTGTTACGATCAAACCGATACTCGCTTTCTTTCGCCTTTTGAACGAAATCGAAAAGATAAACCGGCATCTGTATATACTCGCCATTCTTCGATCACGACTTACACCCCCCACCTTATTCCACTACCGATATCTCTCTGCCCCATCTAGATTTCTTGCGATACGTGAGCGACGGCGCCTGCACGATCTGTTTCGAAATTTTTTTGCATTCCATCACTACCATATCTCTTTTTTTTACTTTTTTTTTAACACGATACCTTGTCTTATCTTTCGGTTAGGGAAACCCCAATTATCGTTTTGGCCCGCGGTGATGTATAGAAAGGGACTGGCGACTTGCTACGCAGCGCACATGTTCCATGGTTTTAAGGAGTTCTACTGTTTGGGGTATCTTGCTGCTTTGACGGGCACGCTTGGCGCGATTTCCTGCGAACAACTTTTCTTGCCACATATTTGAATCTGGGGTTCATTTTCTTATTTGGGTGGGATGGACATTATGTTTTCAGGGATCTAGAAAGGCGGAAACGATATACGTCTGCATTGATATTGGGCTTGGGAGATTCGTTTGCTTTATTATTATTTTTTTTTACTTACTGTCTTGTTGTTCTATCTTACTTTTTTGGGTTGTGATTTATTGCTTGCGGCTTAGGTCTGCATTGCGTCTCATCTTCTTCACTCACCTTATTTCCTACTCGTTTCATGTACATTTGGTTGGAGAGGTCATGCTCCCTTGCCAGGCTGGGTTGGTCGATTGGTTGTGAGGAAATCCATGGATTGGATGCGGAGTTGTTATTACGGGCTGGGTCGCTCGCTTGTGCGAGTCATAGACCAATACGAAAATGTTCTTCATAGTGTCACGATTGACTAGAGGTTGATAATCTATTCCAGTTGGTCTGTCTACGTTGGTCTGTAGTTGGAAATATATGTTCGAGTACCTAGTCCGTACTTACCAATTACATGGCTATCATAAAAGCGACTGCCCAAGGATAACGAATAAGGAATGCCGTTCAGCAATAATGCTTGTAATCTCATTTCCGATGTTCTAGAACAAGCATCTAATGTGACTCGAAGTCGGGAATCATTTACCTTTATCTTGTGATCGAGTACAATGAAAAGCAACCATCAAGTCAACATGTAGCCTCCTTGCTGGATGCAAACAATCGCCTATTCTCTTTAGTATTTACTAATCCTTGTGCGATTGACTATGGTGTTGCTATTCTATGATGTCATATTTGACCTTGACCAAGTCAATATAGAGATATATTTTCAACCAAGAAGGCTGAGCAGATATCCATTGACTAATATAACCTATACTACCACCACCTCGAAGTAATATGCCATTAAGAATAGATTATATGGAGTTAAACATTTATCTACCTCAAATAACATCATATAAATTTCAGGTATAGGATAGAATATACCCTATATAGTTTGTATTAGTACGCTTGAGTATGATTGACGTCATATCCATTAATAGTTACCAGGATCAAATAAATAAAATGAAACCACATCCTGTACTAGAATTCTATACCACCTCTTCCGAAACTCCATACCTCCTAAAATCTCTATCCTTCAATAAAATATACCGCGGATTTGCCATGTCTCTCTTGACCGCACGTTCCCTCGTATCTCGAACCCGTTTCGCCTCCTTCCACATCGTCGCTGTGCGGCGGTCATTGAACGAGAACGACACAAGTATGTCCATATATATATGATTGCCTGGTTTCTAGAAGTCATCAGCTTACATATACCTGCAGACCGGGACAATCTAGGGACATACTACGAAGCCGAAAAACAGGATCAGCTGAAGAGCACGTATCAAGGCAAGGCGAAATGGAAACAGGAGCTTGCTAGTAGTAGCGAATCTTCAGTATGTCCTTCCTTTCCCGCTCCCTTTGATCAATTCATTAGATTCTGAAACGGGCTATAGGTGAAAGCGGACCGTGGCGAGATCGATAATGCGGATTCGGACTTCAGCAAGATGCAAGCTAAGACCAAGGATTTGCCGAATCGCAGTGGGCCAGTAAACAAGACGCAATGAGAGGAAAATTTGGAGGTCTCTGGTTGGTGGGTGTATAATGTGCGGATTTATGTATTGTACATGCGGGTTTACGCTGCGAGGAAATGATATCAAGGCTCTCTGCCCAGGTAGTGACTAAAAGCATCCCTCGTATAGAATTCATCATGCGTCTAATCCGCAGTGGACAGACCGATAAGAAAGAGAGAGTAGAACTAATAACGCCGGCGTAAAGGAGTATCATAATAATTATCGAGGAAATGACCGTGCGGGGGAAGGGGGAGCGAAGGTATCTATTTCAAAATGACAATCAGAATGACTAGGATGACGATCAGTCCGATGATCGTCATCATGCTCCAATTGTCGCCTGCATTCTTCCGGATTTTGTCCAGCCGGCGTCGGGCACCTTCCAGGCGAGTGGCATGCCGTTCGACATCGCCGTCCATGGAGTCCAGCAGAGCGACGTGTCCTTCCAGCTCATCCCCGATCTGGATGCTCAGCTGGTGTTGTCGCCCAATGGACTCCCCCAAACGATCCAGCTGCTCGTCTTGCTCGCGGAGGATTTGCGAGTGGTGGTCGTGGATCTGCTGGTTGCTAAGATTCGTTGCATCGAACCGTGGCGGCGAGGGCTCGTCCCGGTATGGCTGGAACAGAATGTTGCGGTTCGGGTCCTCCTCGTTGGCCGCCGCATCCATGAACCGCACGGATTTTGACTGTGGGTGCTGTGGAACAGGCTGTTTGAGGTCCGGAGAGACCTTCTTGGCTCTGGCAAAATCCGAGGCTAGCGAGGGGTCGTTCGGGGTTTGCACTGTACCGCTGCTGGCCCCTCCGGCGCCGTGGAATTGAGAGGACAGCTCCCGATACTGCAGATGCAAGCTGTCCAACTGATCTTTCAAGGCTGCCGCCGCGCCACTCTGGTTTGCCTCCTCCAAGCGTGCGTATTCCGACTCCACCGACTCGATACCTTCACGAAAGGACTCGAGCGACCGCGAAATCTCCCCATCCTGCGAGTTCGGCTCTAGTTCCAACGAGATCGCTCGCTGTCGTTCCAGTAACGATAGCTTGATATGATCGGCAAGGAGAAACAGCTGAGACGGATTCGACATTTTTTTCCCCCTTTCAATGGTACCGTAGGAATAGGGGTCGTTCAAATGGGTATGCAATATGCAGCGCGCTGCTGCCTGTGATCCAAGGTAACGGTGAGGTGAGACGGAGGGGGGGACGAGGAATGCGTTTCAAGGGCGACGACGGAGGTATAAACGGGGTGCTCAAGCGAACGAGTGATCCAGAACCTCCAACAAAGCCAGAAATGAGAAATGTAGTGATAGAATCAATAGGGGTCCAGCGTTTTGGATCCAGTCGAGGTGATGCTGGAGCGGTGGAGGTAACGATCGCTCGGAACGCAACTCCTCCCGCCCACTTGCCGCAACCAAAGCCTCTTGCCCTTCCAACACCCCCGCAATTCATTTCAATCTGCTCTCGACAGGCTGCTTCAACTACCCTGGCAGCGTTCTCATGGCCAGTATCCAGTCCTGTCTAAGAGATTCCTACCGCCGTGTAACCCCCATGGGTTTTTTTCGATCCAGCTATCGTTTCAGCCTCACACCTCTCACGGCAATCTCACGGCGATCATTCTCTAGTCCTGTCTCGGTGAGAGACAGTACGAGCAGACAATACAGAGCAAAGGGATTTGATTGATACTTGGTACGCTTTAAAAAGGGCGTCTGGTCTTGCCTTTGAGGTTGATTTTTGGCAGTCATAAGATTCCGAGGTTGTCGAAAATGGAGTCGGGTAATGGCTATGAGGAACCGGTCGACCTACGCGCACTGGACTATGTTTCCAGCTATGATGACCATCTGATGTGCCCTATATGCCGTTGCCCATTTATCCGACCAGTGCGTCTGCAATGCGATCATGTTTTCTGTCAGAAGTGTTTAAACACCGCCATGACGACCGGGTTGGAAGTGTTCACCTGTCCGACCTGCCGCGCTCCGCCACAAGACGTGTTCCAGAATGTTCCTCGTATCTTGACCAATATGTGCGATGAGATCCGGGTAAGGTGCCCCTTTGTCAGCGAAGGGTGTCAGGAGATTGTCCCTCGAGGCCATGTCCAGTCTCACGTCGATAAGTACTGTGGCTATAAACCTATCGAGTGTCCAAGCCCACTCTGCAACAAAAAGATCAGGAGGAAAGACCTTCCTTCTGACGATCGGTGTCTTCATGAGCTGCATGTATGTTCTCTCTGTGAGGCAGAGATCACAGAGCAGGACTACGACGTACGTCCCATAACATCTTGAGTCTCTTCTATCTTTAAACTGACCATGATAGGAACATGTGAATGAACTCTGCCCATATCTGAAAATGACATGCCCTGACTGTCTGGCGACCATGTTTCGAAACGCGTTGAAAGAACACATCGATGTCTGCCCCGAGGCCATACATCCCTGTGCGGCGTCCAAATATGGGTGTCCCGTGAAGATCAAGAGAGCGGCGCTCATAACCCACGAAAAACAATGTCCGTTATTAATGATGAGCCCTTATTTCGAGGCCCAGAACTCGCGACTGGAATCGCTTGAGTTGAAGATCAGTCACCTCCAGCAGCGTAACGAGATCTTTGAGGAGGGGCTGGCCAAACTTCAGTCTACCTTGATGGAGTCTCCACAGACCAATAATTCTTCATCAGACGCCTCTGATAACCAACAGCCTCGGGATGACCGCTTTTCATACCAATCGAATGCCAACACATACCTTCTTTCTTTGCACGAGTCCCTCCGAGAAGAAGTTGCGCGGATGTCACAGGCAATCACAGACCTGGATGCTCGCGCCAGTATGACTATCATGAACGAATGTCTGCGAATCAAAGAGGACATGGCCCACACCAACGCTGCTGTCGGTAGTGTTCGAATGCAAGTGCAATGGCTTATGAATCCTCGGTTGCACCACGGCCAGCGAGTCGCGAGTGTGCGGGCAAGTGGCACCGGCTCGTCCGAGCAGGGTTCAAGCAATGCAGTCGCACCATCCCCAGGCTTACCATCCTCAGGCACTGTCCGAGCGAGGAGACTAAGCGATAGTGGGCGCGAGGGAACGAAGCTGTGATTGGCGACTGCTGATGAACAGTTCCATGGCGAATGTGGTTAATTGGCGTCTATATCTATATCTTACATTGTTGGGGGGGCATTGGCGTCTAATTGGAGTCTTATATGATTCCCCGTCTCGGCTGATTTTTAGAACTGATTATCAATGGCGCTAGGCGCTAAATAACTGATCATATTATATCCGAAAAACCTTAACTAATTATACTGATAATACCGACTGATACTGATGAATGCACCTGAATATCCATACTCACTGCCAGAACTATTCCTCGGTGCTACTGCGCGTGAACCCGCTGGGAATCAGATTCGACCATTTATCCAGACTCGAGAGACCGGGGATAGGAAGCTGGGAAAGCTGGTCCCATGGGCGGAACGAACTCGATTGGGCCTGGCCATGAGTTTGTGAGGGATGGCCGTGTCCTGCGCCGCCCAGAGCAGGAAACGGAGACGTATGCGTATGGCCTGCATGATTATCACCCGTGCCGGGGATGTTATTCCTGCCCTCCCTGACACCCTGGGCGCTGAGGAGATCGTTGAGATTTGCGCCCTGGTCTGGTCTAGCGTGGACCCATGCCTGAACGGCATCGAACATGGTGCGGTGGGCATCTTGGTGCATGTTGCGGAGCGCCGGGTGGTGGAACACGTGCAGGCAGTCGTCGAGGACTTGGTCGACGGATACGTCGATGTGGTCCCAGGCGTAGAGTACGCGGGGGGCGACGTATTTCAAGATGGCGGCTGCGACGTGGCCGGCGGGCTCGTTGAGCATGTTGGCAAAGTGATCCTTGGAGAGCAGGGAGTGCGTCGGGTCGGTGCAGGTTGGGTCGGTCCATGGTTCGAATTGGTGCTCGGCCGACGCGTGGAGGGCACTCGCCGAGCCCGTCTGCAGCGACTTGGAGGCTGCGTTGATGAGGGGCCGGATGAAGGGGGCTAACAGGGACATGACGAAGACGGTCAGCGTCTCGGTGATCTTGTCCACCAGGGCCTCTAGGCCGGGGATCTTCTCGATGATCGCCGACAGCTTACGCACAACCTTGTCGCGGAACTCGAGGATCGGGTAGATCTTGGCGATTGTCTCCTTGGGGTTGAAATCCGGTAGCCCCGGCAAGCCTGATGGTGGTGATGAAGCTCTGGTCTGATCACCCGGTTGGGCAAAGCTTCGGCTGTACTCGCCGCCAGAGGGAGGATAATTCTCTCCTTGCAGAGAGGCACTGGAATAGCCGATATGGGCTCCTCGGCTCCTGTTTGCAGCGTCCTGGGCCTCGGACTGCTGCTCGAGCCCTCTTGCTTCGGACACCAGGTCCTTGGTGCCCGGGATCTTCCCCAGCAGCCCTGTTAGGGTGTGAAGAGTACTGGATCCGGAACTGGCCTGGGCGTCACCCAGGGCGATGTCCATCTCGTTGACCTCGGACTGGGTGAAATGGTCGGTGGCCTCGCCGAGAACGGAGTGGAAGAAGTCCACCATGCCAAAGGTTCCCGTGACGAGGGGGAAGACCCGATGGCCATGGAGGTCGATCTCCGTGGCGGTGCCCGTGTGAGGAAAGACGTTGCGGAAGCCCATTTCGCGCAACGCCAGCTCGCAGTAGTTGCTGTGGGCGGCAAAGTCCTCCAGCGTATGCAGGCCCTGCCCGAGACATCGCAGCGCCTCAAACAGGTCTTCTTCTTTGCCGCGGTCACTGCCTCCACTAGTATATACCCGTCCATAGTGGATGCTACGGCCCAGACTATACCGAACGTACGCAGCGCTAGTCGCCCAGTCGCCACGCTCATTCGCAATGTAGTTCTTCATGCCAGTGTCTGGGTCAATATCCAGCTCCACTTGGCGGACCGGAGGACGCAGTCGAGGATCAAATTGTCGGGCATCTTCATCATCGGCGTAGCCTTTGGGATTGCTAAGAACGTTAGTGTTTTTTTTTCTAGATATGAATAGGTATAGAGAGAGAGAGACCATACTCTATGTGTTCCTCTGGTCGATACACGCCGAGTCTTTCTGATGTGACCTCAAACTCCCTTGTCGCGTAGCCAAAGCTCAAGAAAGACAGGATCCAGACCAAAATTCGAATTGAGTCCGCCTGGAGATTCTTCAGGGTGCCAACATCCATGGCCTGGGAATAGTCTCGCAGCCAGTTGCCAAAGTAGACCCGCTTGACCATCGACGAGGTCCATTTGTGACCTTTGATGCAAGCGATTGTCGTGAGAACATCCTCGATATCGCCATGGCGCCAGTTCTTGCCTTCGAGAAGAGAAATGGACGCAATATCTATCAATCGTCAGCACCGAGATCCCACTTCCAGGCTGTACGGAGTAGTGTAGTCTGCTGCTTACTCCCAGCGCCAAACGCCTGGACGTGCGTGGGCAAAAGCACCAGGACGACAGTGAGCACGAGCACAAAAGGCGAGACGCCTGTTCCTATCGATTTAGCCATCGTTAGCTTTTCTCTTTTCTCTTCCAAGCTTCTCTCGACGCTGGCTTGTGACGACGAGTCCTTGTTTACGCAAGAAAACCCCTCCTCGCTAGAGAGAGCCTCGCGAGTACGAGATACCAAGAAAAAGTGCGCTGATACCAAGAAAATTTGTACCCCACCACTCACTTGATTGCTCAGATGGCGGGGCCCTGCTGAATGGCTCTCAGGTTGATGCCCGAGTGATGATCTTTCGCTGAGTTCCAGATGATTCTGTTTGGATTGTTTTTCAGCACACGACAATCCCAGCCACCACTGCTGCCAGCCACTACACCACCACTGCTATTATTCTCTACACCCACCAAGTCCAACTGTAACTCATTTGGACGTATAATGTAGATCTGGATTGTCGGATTTTAGATGATCTGGGGTTTCCAAGGATCCAGATGCATGCCACCGTGGTGTGACGATTGATGCTACGGTATCGTATCTCTGCGGGGTAGAATCAGCAAAAGAACCGGACCTCGAGACTGGCGCTGATAGCTAACTTACAGGCTGCAAGAACCGACAAGAGTTTGGAAAACTGCCGAATTGATCTCCTCTGTCAGTTTAACACACAAAGTCTAGCGTCCTGACGAATCGATGAGACGATGGTTGCCCACGCCACCCCCCATCTCGATGCCCTCCAGCGCGACGGGTTCGTCAAGATAAGCGGTCTGCTCAGTGCGACGGAGATCGAGACGCTGAAAGAGACAGCCACGAACGCGACGACGATGACCCGTGCAGGTCGCTGGCCTCATTTCCGTACCGTGCCCAAGCAGTTCCCCCCCTGGCCGACAGCCGTGCCGCCGGCCTCGGAGGGAGGCATCTGGGGCGTGCAGCACCTGCTGCATCCCGAGATGCCTGGCCGGGAGGAGTTCGCACGTTGTTACTTTTCCGACAAGGTGGTAGCGGTGGTTGAGGAGCTCCTGGGGGTGCAGGACCTGACGAACAAGGATGATGACACCCATGAGGTTCTGATTATGGAGCTGTTCAATCTGCTGGTGGCACCGGAAACCAAGGACTTTGAGCTGCGCTGGCACCGGGACGGGATCCCCGAGACGGTCAGCCCGGAGGAAGAGCTGCGGCAGCTGCAGGAGAAGAGCCCCCAGGGTCGCCAGGCGCACGCCCAGTATAACCTGGCGCTGTGCCCGGACATGTCGTTGATCGTGGTTCCCGGCTCACACCGACGCGTGCGGACAGAGACCGAGCGAACGGCGGACCCGTACGCGGCTTACCTGCCCGGTCAACTGGTGGTCGAGCTGCAGCCGGGCGATGTGGTTTTCTACGACAGCAATATCCTGCACCGCGGGGTGTACAAGGCGAAGGCCGCCGGCGGGCCGGAGACGCGGCTCACGCTCCATGGCTGTCTGGGCCTCAAGGGCGCCGACTCGGATGCGGACAAGAAGGCACGCGCAACGGCCGTCCTGCAGCACGGCGTGGGCGCCTGGGTGTACCGCGACGATGCGACGTTCGGCATGGGCCAGCGACCGGAGAGAATGAGGGCCAATCTGGTGGCGATGGGGAGGGGGGAGGGAGTGGGATATTCACTTCAGGGGTAGAATAATTAGTAGCAGTAATCCATACTTATATTCTATATTTATCTTCATTCAATCAAGGCAAAAAAACCAACCCTTACAAAAACAGTCTAGTTGGACTTGGACCCTGGTAACTTGTAAGCTTAAATAAGTTCCCACTTCAATCCACACACACGAACGATCCTCCGTTCAACGGTCAACGGTCAACCGCCCGAGTTCACCCAACAACTTGCATCACGACCAACCTGCCACTACATGGCAATCAACGGTGATGGACATGGATTCACGACTGCTCAGCTGACATGGACGCCTACACGGCCAAGAATCGGCCCCGACAGTCCTGCATTAATTGCCGCGAGCGAAAGGTGAAAGTGCGTACTGTACTGAGCACCGGAAAGTTTGATAGAACCGCATTCTGAATTTCTTTACAGTGCGACCGAGCAACTCCCTGCACAGCATGTTGTGCCCGTGGCCTTGGGACGGAGTGCAGATATCTCGCCAGCGACGAGGACCGCGAGTCTATCAACCAGGCGGGGGTGATTGAAGAGTTGAGACGGGAGGTGAATCGATTGCGTGAGTTGGCTGACGACGACGACGACGACGATGACGACGACGATGAAGATGACTACGACGACAATGATGATTACGGCGTTAACGAATATAACGAGCATGAAGAAAATTTTCAACAACCGCTGCATGGATATGTAGACCCCCACGGATCAACACACATGACGAATCAGACGATTGCATACGAAGCGACAGGTCCATACCAGCATCAAGATCTACTATCTCAGTTTTCACAGCAGCAATTCCAGCAGTATCCGTCTGAGCAGTATGAAGAATATCATTTCCAGTTTCAGCCCCAATCTCAGTATGGTATGTACGTGTTTTCTAAGACAGTCACCGAGGAGAACTGACAGCCAGGCTACGACATGCAATACGCGACGCCGATATCTACATCTGATACATCATATTCCGACCCGCCTGCGCCCGGTGCCTCGCCCGCCTGGACACATTCGAGCTGGTCGAGTCGTTCCGAGACGACGCCTATCCATGTGCCTATGCAAATGCAACAGATACAGATGCAGTCTACTCATATGGCCATGCACATTCAGCACATTCAACAAACAATGCTGCAACAAACACTAGCCAACGACAGCTGGAAGGGCAAAGAAGCCCTCCTCGAGGCCCTACTCAACACAATCGTCGACTGCGATGACCGCTGGCTCGGGCTCGTGATTGAGATTGTGCGGACGAGTCCGTCACCCGAAGCTGCCATGGCGGCTATCCAATCCATACCACTTAGTATGAACACTGAACATACTGTCTGAAACATTACTGTATAACTACTGAATACACTTTACTGTACTGACTATGTTCATTTTTATTATCGTTACTTCGTAAATCATCATACCCGGTCTATTCCGGCCGCTGCCCATACACGTAGTAAAAGCGGACATACATATGGTATGTGTTGCGCAGGATCTCGGAGCGCACGCGCGAGACAAATTCCAGAGCCTCTTCGGCCGACTGGCCCAAGACACGGGTGAAGAGAGCGAGCGAGTAGGATTCGACGGCTTCCAGGAGGGCGAGTTTGGCGACCTGGCCGATTTCTTTGAGGCGGGGGTTTTTCGGCCACGAGCCGATGGGACACTTACCCACTTAGAACAACAAAAAAATAAAGATAAATATATACGATGAGGGAATTACCTTGTATATCTCGTTTGTAATATTGACAAACCCCGCCTGGTGCATCATGGAGGCAAGATTGGCCGCGACGTTCATGACAGGCTTGCCGAACTTCTGGCTGGAGAACTCGAGCTTGTCGAGCCATTCGCGGAGAAGCGGGGACTGGAGGTGCGTGCCGTCGTCGGAGGTGATGCGGGCCTCAAACTCCTGCAGTTCGAACCAACCGCCCGGGTTGAGATGGGTGTACGCCTGGCCGACCAGTTTAGGCCAGTCGGCGATGCCGCCCGCCAGAGACCGGCCGTGGATGTAGTCGAACGCCTCGGCGGGCGGGTACGTCCATTCGCTCTCGAGGTCGTCGACGTAGAAGCGACAGTTGGGCGGCACGAAGACAGGCTGGATCGGACTCAGGTCCGTCCCTAGGATTTCCGCCTGTGGGAAATCCTCCGCCATGTCCATTGGCCAGAGTCCCGTCCCGGTGCCCATGTCGAGGATGCGGATGCGTTGCGCGGATGGAAGAGGTGTACCTCCTCCTCCTCCTCCTCCTCCTCCTCCTCCTCCTCCTCCTTCACCTGCCGCGGTGATGGGGGCCCGAAACATCTCCCCGCCAGTCAACAACCGACAGATGTGATGGAACAGTTCTTGTCGGTCCTGCTCTTGCTCATCGTTGGGCATCGGGTACTGCCCGTGCCGGTAAGCGTGGTACCGCCGACCGTTCTCATACGTGTAGTCTCGAACGGACGAGGCCAGCGAACTGGTCGTCTCCAGCATCGACTCGGTGTCCCACTGTGATTCATCATCGCTGGTCTAAATTATTAGCAATAGCAACAGAAATATATATATATATATATATATATATATATATCAAGTTAAGAAAAAAAAAAGCAGGCGAGGAGCAATCTGACAGCTGCCAGAAAAAGCAAAACGCACATCCACCTGGATTGGCTCATCGTTGTGTGCCATGGCAAATAATCATAATCGGGAGAGAGAGAGAGAGAGAGAGAGAAAAGGGGGAGAGAAGAGAAAATAAATCCAAAAAGCAATCCTGAAGAACCAACAGTATAGTAAATATACCAAACCCAGTCTGGAATCAAGAACAGGAAGAGAATGGGAAGAGAGAGGGGGATTTGACAGGGGTAGACCCGACAGTCAGGATCCTGGGAGACGAAACCGAATGATTGGGGAGGGACTGATTAATTTGTCCTTCTTGTTCGACATTGGCAGACCCGGAGCTGCGGTTCGTGTTTTATCGCTCGCGGGTCCAGATAAGCCCCGCATCTTGCAGAATGGCAAGGAGGTATTTATTGTACTTGAAGATAGGAGGTTCATTGTAGAGATATTATTGTGTAGGGTCTATTGTTTATTTTATTGTATGATCTGTTGTGCGTTGTGGTAGATCATCCTTCGATTGTGTCACGACTACTGCTGCAGGCACTAAGAATACCGCGCCAGTTCCTGGAGCTTCTGTCGCTCGCTCTCGCTCAGCCCCCCAAACATCTCCTGGAATCCCGGTTGGGAGGAGGCGTGTCGGAAGAAGTCGAGCAGGAAGGCCTGCGTCTCGTCGTCACGCTGGCGCACCCCAAACACTCCCTCCGAACCCCCCTCGCCAAACGCCATCAGCTCCTGCTTGGTGACTCCGAGGCTGAGATCCAGCGTCGTGCCCGGCATATCCTCCCATTCATCATCATCATCATCGCCGTCGTCGTCGTCATCGTCATCGTCATCGTCATCGCCGACATCGCCGCTTCTGGTTCCCCCCATGGCGGCCGCCGTGGCGGCGTCGAGGCTTTGCGTACCCGTGGCCGCCCCCAGCTCCTCCACCAACACCTTGACGATCTTCAACGGCGCCGACACGCTCGTGTACTGGTCCGGATTGCGGCGTGCTTGGGACCGCGTCTTGATCCGCCCCGTGTCCTGGATGATCAGGTCGCCCTTGACCTGCACCTGCGCCACCCGCGGGTCCGCCAGGTTGTACAGTTTGGCGAGCGCCAGGATGTTCTGCTTGATCTCGTCGTACCCGGCAAAGTTGACCGAGTTCTCCAGCCACTTGCCCAGCACCACGGACAGACCGCTCTGCCCGCCCAGGTCCACCTGCGCCAGGAAATCCACCACCTCCTGCGCGCTGATCAGTGTCAGCCGCGCAAACACCAGGATCAGGCTCTGGATGAACTGCGCTTGCTGCGCCGTCGACAGCCGTTGCGCCACCGCCTGGAGCAGCTGCGGCAGGAAAGGCCCCAGTCGCTCCGACCCGGCCTTTTCCACCAGCTCCGCCGCCAGCTGCCCAACCTCCACCGCCGCGTTGTCCTCCACCGTTGGGCCCAGCAGCCGGTCGATGATGATCAGCACCACCTCGAGCGCCCCCTTACCCGTCTCCGGGTCCTGCCACCCGATAAACTGGTTGAAGTCATGCGACAGCAGGTGGCGCACTGCCTCGGTCGCCGGGCGGATCAGCTCCGCGTCGTGAGAGTCCAGCAGTAACCGGGTCAGCTTCGGCATCACCCCGTCCACGAATCCGCTCGGCAGCGGGTCGATGCCGCGTTCCGCCAGTGCGCGGAGCAGGTCCGCCGCCAGATTCGTCAGTGCATTCTCCTGTGTCAGGTTGCCTACGTCGATCGCACTCGTGATGGAGGGCAGCACCTTTTCGCACAGTCGGGTGTACGCGTCGGAGCCGTATTGCGCGATGGCCTCGACCATATCCTCAAACGCCTCCGTCACAATCATCACGAGCTGGAAGTTCGTGGCGCCGCTGCTGGCTATGCTGAACAGCAGGTCGATTGCCGTCGACGACAGCACCACGTTCGGGTCCACCATGATGGTATCCCGAAGCGTCTCCGCCAGTGTCACCTTGAGATCGTCGCTATCGGTGGGTTCCCGGAGGTCGTGCGCGGCGATGAACGCGGAGAGGGCTGAGATGATCGAGATCTGCAGCGAGCCGATGGAACTCGAAGGCACCGAGGGGATAAGATCCTGCAGGACCCGAATACAAGACACCTGCACCAGCTCGGATGGGTCCTCCGATATGGCCTTGAGGGCGCCTTCCAGGTATGAGGCCGCGGCTTGCTTGAAGACATTCCCGGAAACCTTGGCCAGCGCACCAGCCGTCAGGTAGCCGCGAGCCCTCAAGAAGTCTTCTTCCCGCTGAACAGCATGCTGGATAAATTGGTTCAACCCATTGGCCAGCTCTGCCGGAATGTACTGCGACACCTCGCTGAAATCTCGCAAGAGCTGGTTCAGAATGTAGAGAGCAGCCTCCCGGAATTTCCAACTTTCCAGAGTTAGTCATTTCCCTAAACAAGAGGGTAGGGAATACTCACGAAGAGGACGTATCGGCAAATAAACCGTTCATATAGGCAAGCATGCCCTCCGCAGTCGTTGTCTTGAGCCATTCACCCAGTTTGACCACAAGGTCACCGCTGCATGTGCGTGGAGTGTAATTCGCGGTGACGGAGGTCTCTTCAGACAGGAAAAGATTAGTATCAATGTCCCACAGCCCTTCCTCCTCTGTGGTGATTTGGGCGTATGAAACAGCCAGCTTCAAGACCTCGGTCAGCCAGCTGGCAGTTACCGCCGTCTGGCCGGCATTCTGAAGCTGTTTCTGCAGCTCATTTTTGACAGGAGGCGCCTTGATGAGGGTCTGCATCAGGTCGAGTTCCTCCAACACCAAAAAGTCTAGGGTAATGGGGAGCCCATCCACATCTTCCAAGCGACCTTGTCTATCACCGTGGATGTAGAAATCATGGTAGGCGCTTTGAATGTTGGATAGCTCCGTCCAGATGATGTCGAAGTACGCAGGGCTCTGGGCCGTGATGAGGCCTGGGAAGACCATACGAATTTTCATGATAGTCTGAAGCAATTGAAGTTAGAAATTAATTTGAAAAAACTTTTTACCTCTTTTCTCCACTGGTTCTTAGAAAAAACATACCTTGGCCACCTGTAACTTCAGTCCGATGACACCACGCCATAGGGACGGAATATCGCCATCTTTTGATTCTTCCTCGTCGCTAGGGGCTTGCGGCAGCGGGGCCTTGAGCGTGGAGATGAAGAAGGGAGTCCATCCGGAAAGGACCTCATCCATAAACTGCTTGACGGCGGATTTGTGCTGCTCCAAGACCATCTCCAAGGTGTCGAAACACGAGCGAAACACGGCGACGGCCAATGCCCGAAGAATGGGCTTTCTGGACTCATTTGTGGCGACGGCGAAGAGGGTCGCAACAAGGTCTCGAGCGATATTGAAGAACTGGTCCTCACTAAAGCCGGTGTCGACAAGATCCAGCAGGACTTTCAAGGCGCCGTGCAACGCGCTCGCGCTCGCGGCCGGGTCGTTGATGATGTGTAACAGCGAGGGGAGCAATTCAGGCCACTGCTCGGGAAAATCGGCGCTGGCAATCTTGCTGACCGCGTAACTGGCGGAATTCTTGACCTTACGCTCGGAAGTCTCGATGGTCGTCGCCAGCTCGAGAAGCACGCGCCGGATCTGGGTCTTGTTCGCGTCGTTGACGAGGACCTGGCCCTTGAACTCGTCGAGAGTCGGGGACCAGGCGGCGGCAATGAACGTCCGCAGCACGGAGAGGGCAGACTGGCGAAGACTGGTCGGCACGGACTCATGCGATGCAATCGCCGCCAGAGATAGAGGGAAGGCCTCGTTCGCGTAGAGCCGGAGCAGCTGAAGCTCAGCACGCTTCCTAGTATCGGCCGTGGGGGACTGCGTGTCCGCCAGCAGCGGAAGGAGCTCTTGCTCCATGGCAGGTCAATAAATGGAGATGAGTTAGTAGACTTGTGATAGTCTGCCCCTCTCTGTGCTGGATCAGATGGAATTGAAGACGCGAAGATGAGCCACCTGGACGCAATTCACGGCGGTTAGAATTCAACTCTTTTGTCCCACGAAATCATCGCGTTTGTGAGGGGCAACGGCAGCCCCAGGCGGTCAGCGCGATATTGACGGACGCGATAGGCCTCAGTACTAACTACGACTACCTACGTACTGACTGCCTACTGCCCACAACTACTCTGTACCTTCAGGCACTGAGCACTTGATTTAGATGATACAGAAGTAGGTATTGACTTGAAAATGATTTTCACTGTTTACTCTTCTCAGTCTTACTGATGGAGCGGCCTCAAGGACCAACAGCGTGAACGACACCATAGAATCAAACCGCTACGCCGTGGATAACTGATTATAAACCGTCTCACACTGGCAAGTCAAGAGCTAGGACTGGTCTTCGCTTAAAATAACTCAGGTTCTCGTTGTCCGGCTCGAACCGGACGCTATTCCAAAGTACTGCGTATGAAGCCCGAGTCCTCCGTACTTAAATACCAGCTCCGTATAACTACAGAAGTGCTCTGTATCAGGCTCCACTTGAAATACATTCACAGCTAGACCTGTCATTTGAGTCTGAGTGAAGTTTGAAGCCTGTGTGTCTGTACAGACCTTGGTACTGGCAACAGTCTCGGAATATTGAAGATACAGAACAACCTACTGATCATAGGGATTACTACCCACAACTCTTGCTATAACAATGAGCCCAAGGATATGAGTATCAAACTACCTCGATACCTAGGTACCTAACCTACTACATCGTCTTTTTTTAAATACTCCGTACAGAGTTATACTAATCTTATCGTCACTCCCAGGGTTCCGATAACCTCCTGAGGGTCCACAACGCACATCACGCTATAGGATAGTTACTGCCACAGCCGACCGGGGAAGCAACAGAGACTGCCGCCAGGGATCCCTGTGGTGACTGTGTGTGGTCTGAATCGAGACCAGCCTATAGGATATTATTCTGTATGAGCCAGCAGCACAGTACTACAGAGGGAATCAAGGGAAGGGTCATAGTGGGGGTTTTGAGACGGCCATCAGCACCAGCAAGCAGAAATCCACCAGGATGTGCATCCACCTACGTCAAGCGCCCAGGGAAACCTCTCCGGAACAGTGGATCGTCCCGCAATAAGAATAAATACACTTTGACCTGAGTCCATGCTAGGTGGAAAAAGTCAGACTACTACTGGGATAATAGTCTAAAAAAAAAAAGCTAAAGGTACGGCTTTGAATGACACCAGGTCCCTGAGTGACACCAGTCTGCAGAGCCTCTCACTCTAGATAGAAGGTAGGTACTCTGTCCCGATCGAAACCAGGTAGTCTTCGCCAGGAGTTACAGAGAGCACTTAATAGACGTACTATAACTAATTACTACGTGTCGCTCGATGATCGTCTCTGCTAGTGTGCTCCCTCCCACCTGGTGGAGATGCTCATTTTTTTTTCTCCATCCCTCGTTGCTGGCAGCTGCACTGTAAATAGTAAAAATACCCAAAATACCTGCAAATAAACCCATGACGCAAACACGTGACGGACGGCTCTCACTCAGTTCCTTCGGGCTTTCCCCCTCCTGCTAAACAGTTCGTTCACAAGTCCTGTTTTGGCCCCCTTCTCTTTCTCTCCTCCCCCCCCTTGGGATTACTATCACCACTGACTCGCAAAAAAGACAGGTCCTTCCTGCCACGGCCTCTTTTGTTTTGCTCGGGCTTTTTTTTTGTTGTTTGGGGGGATAAAAAGGGTTGAAAATAACTAATCCATAGATAAAAGCTTGTTGGCGTCATTTTTCCTCCTTATTGCGGTGTTTATCCTTTGTATCAAGGGGCAATCTTCAGAAGATCGGATTTAATTGAAAGGAAAAGACACGAAACGACCAGACAGGCGAGGACGACATTGTCGGCAGACAGCAGAGGTGGCCCGCTTGTGTTATATAAGTACACCAACACCACCACCACCTCGTCGCGCCATTCTCTTGACGGGGCGGGAGGCTGAAGAATCAGCACGGAAAGAGGCAGAGCGATGATTAGCCTCCAAGTGGAACAGCATCCAGCAGAAAGCCCGACCGCCCGTCACGACCATTTTGATTTCTTTCAGTGAAAGCACGACGACGACGACGACGACGACACTCAACGAACGGCGAACGCCCTTGCCATCAGCATGACCACGTTCTCTGCCCCGGTCACCGAGCCCAAGCCCCTGCCGAGCAACCAGTCGGCACTGGCGGCCTCCTTTACGGATTTCCTGACGGTCTCCATCCACCAGATCCTGTTCCTGCGCTCTGTCTACCCGCGAGCCACCTTCCTGCCTGTCCGGGCGTACAACTATCCCGTGCGCCAGTCCCGTCATCCCAAGGTCTGCGACTACATCAACGACGCGGCGATCGCCGTCGGAACGGAGATTTTGAAAGGCACAATCACCGCGGTCAGCATCATCATTTCGTCTCTCCGTACGAATCAGCCGCTGGAGCGCTATGCGTTCGATCTCTCGGGCTTCCCGCGTGTCCCTGTCGGCGAGATCAACGCCACCTTCGAGGAAAGGAAAGATGATCCATCGTCATCGTCCAAATTAGGCGTCAACGTCTCCGAGCGAGGCTCTGCCCCGCCCCAGACCATCGACCTCGAGGCCCAATTCCGTGCCTGTCTGGCGCGCCTCGCCTCTGCCTGTGCCCGCCTAACCCCGTTGCCCCGCGACGATGAGTTCAGCTTCACCGTCTGTATTGAGGTCCGTGAGGATGCCCTCCCGCCAGCAGGCACCACCAAGGAGGAGCAGACCTGGATTGTCGCCGAACCAGGCAAAGTTCATCTCCGTTCCTGTACGGCACCTTACTCCGTCTCCAAGGCCAAGAGCGCCGATGACCCACAGCAACAACATCAGCATCTACCTCCTCCCCCTCCCAAGGTCTCCAACGGCCGCGCCAAAACCGTGCCCGTGCGCCGTGTCGAAGCCGGTGAGCTGCGTCTGGAGCTATGGGTCGAAGAGGCACGGCAGAAATTCAACGAGCCGGTGGACTGAAATTACCTGGGTTTTGATTTTTTGATTTTTTTTTTTTTTTTTCTCTTGGCTATCACCATTTTATTCCTTTCTCCTCCTTCATGCCTCTACCCCTTGCTCTCTCTATGTGTCTCTACCTGTCTCCCCTCTTGTCAATCCCATTCTGATTTAGCGTGACTATGATCGAACATACATGATGAACGAAAAGGTTTAGGAAACGTCCAAAAAATGGGTGACGCATCTATATGAAACAGTTGGACAGACGATGTTGGGACTCGCATAGCATTATCATAGAATTGGTCTTCTGTTCTTTTTTGCCCCCCTCTTGACACTCGTTACTATTGCTTTTTATTATTCTTTCTTTCCTCTTCTTTTCTTCAACATACTACTTACTACTTGTCTGTTATATTCTTGCTCTGGGTTTCTCTTATCATATCCTTCAACTGGCTGAACGATTTAGAGCAACCCACAGCTCAGTGCTTTTGAGATCGATTCGATCTCCATAATGATATCGGGTGATGATCTTCTAGTCTAACCAAATGGATATTTGGTGGCTAATGTTGACGGGAGGTTTTATTCTATCCTGTTTATTTTCACTCTGCCTTCAATTCTCTTCATTCCTGATTTCTGGCCATTTTCACTCTGTCCTTCCACCTTTATAACCAGGCTTTATCTATGGCTGTCATGGTGCTAGACTCGCTAGCAGTATGGGTATCAAAATAAAAACATGATATATTAATAAATATAGTACTCGCTGTCACACATGAATAAGTAATCAAACATAACACTTATATCTCTATAACTAAGTCATTTCATATTGTTTATGTAGTACACCGCAAGGCTACACCTACTCCTACCACCACCACCACCAAAAAATCTTTATAGTAGTACACACGATGTAATACTGAAGATCCCCGCATACAGGGGCGCATGACTCACCCGATCTAGTGACGATGACTTAATTTGACGCAGTGACACCGACGGATCCCCGGTCAAACTATGTAGTAAACCACAGCCTATCAGTTGGGTTGATCCAGTGGCAAGCTCCCTAATCTACCCAGGGATTCGCTTGACGTCGCTTTGCTGCGGAGGGGAACATCCGAAGAATGGAGAAGGAACTTGGAGACATTAGGTTCTTTTAAAGAGTGTTCAAACTCCTTTGTTTTTTTTTCCTTAAAAAAAAAAGGGTTATGTTATGTTCAATGGCTTGGAGCTTATCTAATCTACCTCTACGTCTAGGAACTACAATCCCTTGATAAGGTGAAAAAAAGAAGAAGAAAAAAATAGCTCGAAACTATTCTACTGACTGTTCTATTACTTTCTAATGATTGCTTCTTCCCTCCCTCCCGGCGATTCACCTCGCCTGGTGCTCGTGCCCGCGACACCCGCGGAGCGGCTAGAATGCACCAAGTTGAACAGTGTGGCGTGGAAGGGCCCGCTCGACCTAGAGAGCTACATTGCGCGCGAGGACCACTTGCTCGCCCAGCAGCTGACGGGCGACGGGCAGACGTGCTGGATCCTTGTGGACGGCACGCAGCCCGCGGGCGCGCGGACGATCCTGGGCGCGTGCGAGTCGTACAAGAAGAAGGCCCTGCTGGCTTACGCGGGGCAGGTCGAGGACATCGCGACCCACGGCGTCGGGAGCGTCTATTGTCGTCCTGAGTTTAGAGGGAAGGGGTACGCCAACCGGATGATCCAGGAGTTGAGCGTGAAGCTGGAGACCTGGCAGCTCGAGGAGGAGCGGCGCACCCGTTCCGTGTTTTCCGTGCTCTTCTCCGATATTGGCAAGAAATTCTATGCCCAACATGGCTGGAAGCCGTTCCCTTCATCCCATATTGCTCTCCCATCGCTTGGTGGTAGCGACGAGGAAGATGGCGCTGCTGCTGGCTTGCCTTCTGCCCGCGACCTGTCCGCCGAAGACGTCAAGGAGTCCATGTGCAGCGATGCCGTCTTCCGCAAGGCACGCGAGAGTCTGCGCGCCGCCTCGGAGCGAACGCCACATCAAGCCAAAATCGCCATCGCGCCGGACTATGACCATTTCGTCTGGCACTGGGCCCGCGAGGAGTTTTATGCAGAGAAACTGTTTCCGCACAGCGGCCCGCCGCTCGTCAAGGGTGCGGGTGAGGACCGGGCCCGCGTCTACTGCGCCTGGACGCGTGTCTTTGGCGAGACACCGGAGGAGAACACCCTCTACATCCTGCGTTGGATATACGACGAGCCGGCCTCGCCCGCCCAGGCGCAGATGACCGCCCAGGCCATGGCGGCGGTCCTGCGGCGCGCTCAGCGACAGGCGCACAAGTGGGACATGCGGCACGTCGAGTTCTGGAACCCGACCCCTTTGATGCTCCAAGCCGTCGCCCTGTTGGATCCCGACGCCAAGGTCGTACACCGGGAGAAGAGTAGCATTGCTAGTCTGAAGTGGGATGGCGCCAAGCAGGGCTTGGGCAACGAGGTCGAATGGGTCTGGAATGAGAAATATGCATGGTGTTAGCCGGAGTTGCATTTGCATTGTTGTGAGAGAGGAGGCAGTCTGATTTGATCGCGAGGCAGGCCATATTGTCTTCTAGAGGGTTAGAGAAGCTCGAACTCAGAATGAAATCCCGAAGACCCAGAGCCAGTTCTTAGATCTATAATTGAACGGTCCTACATCGGATCTACCGTCTCTGGCTCTTGAACAACTCGTGCCAATTCCTCGTTGTCTTAGCCGTTGCTGCTGCAGATGCGGCTGTTGTGCCACCCCTTTGGATCCCCCTTTTAATTCTCTCCCGCTCTGTCTCGCTGGTGTGGTAGATGGTTGTGGGCTCCGGAAGAGCATAACAGCCCTCCTGTATAGGGCAAATTAACAAACGATTCCCAAACCCGAACATAGACAGTAAACTCACAGTCAGCTTTGATAATGCTACCTCCTCCCTCCATGATTCGGGAAGATGGTCTCTCCACGCATTCAGAAACTCGTTCCGTGTAATTGCAGATGTGGCCATAGGAGCCATGGCCTCGAGATACGTCTCGCCGACCCACTGAATACAGAGGAGTCTGTCAATGCTTGCCCCTGAGCCGTTAGTATATTCAGAAAAGTATGCCCATCTTATCCGTAGGACCCCAACTTACATTTGAATTCTTCCCGTATAGTTTCCGAATCACACAGCCGTCGGATGACAGCATCGAAGAGCGGCCTAGGGAAAGGCTCCTCGTCATCATCATCATCATCATCCCTCACGGCTTTCCACAGATCCAGGATGAGAAACTGCTTCTCCAAATCAATGCCCTGTAATATCGACCCCTCCATGACCCTCTTCCAAACATCCAATCTCACGACCGCCGAAGGGCGCCAGCATGTCCCCGGTGAACCATGCACAAACGCACACAGATCCACCCAACCCTTCTCACACTGTTCCCGCGACACAGGCACATCGGCGAAGAGCCTCTCCCTAGCGACCCGTTGATTGATATCATTTCCGCCCCCCATCGACGTATCTTCCATATCCATATCCATATCCATATCCATCATGGGGCCCTCGCTGCTCAACCGGTCGTACACCCTCAGCCCATTCTGTAGCATTAGGCACACTCCAAAGCCTTCAGGCGGGGTATGCAGTTCCAGCGTGGAGCCGCATTTAGCAATAGCCGTCATGGAGGATACAAAGGCGTCTTCTGGATTCAAACTCGTCGCGTCAGGGGGGACCTCGCTTGGCTTCATGACGTGGATCGAGTTCGACGATTGAACCTGTCGTACCCGGTAGGTCTGGGAGGGGGTGCAGAGGTTGATAAATTCGCGACCATCGGAGGACGCGGTGGATTGGATGATTTTCGAAGGCGTCTTAATCTCGATTCTATAAGATTTAAATTTCATTATTATTTCTTTTTTTCTTCTTCTCTTTCCTTCCAAGGCTGAGAGAACGTACATCGGCGCGTCATCTGAGGTTAGAAGATTCAGTAGCTCCGGTGGGAGCTCCAGTAACTTGAAGCCTTGCTGTGGAGAGGTGTGCGTGAACCGAACGCTGGGAGCACCTTGGGTAGACATTTCGTAGTTCCTCCTATTCGGCTTGAAGAAGAGAATTCAGGAGGTCTTTCGCTGTAGAAAATCGTGTCGACGCGCTGGTCGATGCTGGTCAACGCGTTGGATAAATTCGTGGATCGCACGGACCACTGCTTAATTGATAGAATTGTTTATTGTAGTCCAGGTTGATAATATAAAAAATATATGAATCAAGCTGTTGGATTTATTCTAGAATTATGCTAGGTGTAGGAAAAGAAACACCACAGCTTCTGATTAAGATATTACTGTAGAAATCATCCTGGAAGAAAGCTCGTTCATCAAGCCCAAAACGCCATAAGTTAAGAGCATCTTTCTCAGCAAGATATATGAGGCACCTTGGCTGTTCGTTATTGCCCATTTGTGCTAATACATTGTATAAAGAAGAGAAGAAGAAGAAGAAGAAGAAGAAAAAGAAGAAAAAGAAGAAAAGACATCTAGATCAACCAAAAAAAGGCCATAAAACAGCAGTGGACAGGAAAAGAATCTTCTGACAAGCCGGATGCCATACAGTCATGAGTCAAGACGAGGCGAGAGTCACCAAGAATGTCGAGTGGGACACACTGATAGACTGGTAGTGTATGGCTAAAATCGGTGTCATCCAGCCAGCTGGAAAATAGTATAGAAAAGAGGTTTGCACGCTTGGAAACCTGCTGATGATAGGTGAATAGGCCAGTGTCATGATTTTGGCTGTACGGCAGGGGCAGGGGCAGGGGCAGGAATCGAGGCCCCCTCTAAAGGCTGGGCAACAGAATCTTCTTCCAGAGCCTGTGCTTCTTGCAAAAGTTTTTGGACAGCAGCATGATCCTTCTCCCATTCCGCGCTCGGATCTTTAAACAGGCCTTGTTCTTCTCGCGCTTTTTTCTCGGCCTGTTCCTTCTCCGCTTTCTCGCGGGCCTTTCGTTCTTGGTCCATCTCTTCCATGTGCCGGAGATCATCGACGCTGGGTTCGTAAAGATGCCAGATCGTGTAGTGAGGCAAACCAATGACAGAGTAACCCATCCGTCGAGCCATCTAGGTAATTGTTTTAGTCATGGCGCTCGAATTGTAGACGAGAGACGGGGTTAGTTAAGCTTACCTTTCCAAACGCCTCCGTCTCGGCATGTTTCTCAAAGCTGAAGGCCGGGAAATGGACGCCCGACCGGAAAACCTTGGCCTTGGCTAGAATGCTAACACCGCCAACTCCGTCCAATTCCATTTCCATATCTGGGTCGCCGTATGGATCCCGGAGATAGGCGAGATGTGGCCGCCAGGTAGCATATTCGGCGTACCCCTCCACAATAACTGCATCCTCATCCAATGTATCGGCCAGGGCGAGGGCAGTATCCGACTCCTGCCAGGAATTGAGATCGTACGGCTGTTCTCCGCCCAACCAGTCCGGGAGCGGTCGCCAAACATCTGATGTAAATTAGCTGATACATTCCAAGAGAGAGAAAAAAGAGCAACTGAAAGAAAGAGGAAGACTCACTTGGTACAATGACGTCCTTGTCGTGCCTCATCAGATCCTCAATGATTGTGAACGGAGCGGTTTCAACATCGGCATCCCGCCAATAGACCCAGCTGTGCGTGGGACGAAGGGTGGCGCTCAGCAACCAGTTCCGAGCCTGGGCCATCAGCTTGCGGCGCCCCGCCTGAGCAGCGAAACCATGCCGACTCTCGACGTCCTGCTGGACCTTCTGCCCGAAATCCTTCTCGATGACCGAGATCTCGCCAAACGGCATCTGCGGGTCCGGGTCATCCTGGAGCTCGTGCAGCATCGTCGAAAGCATGCCCAGCGTGTCGTCCTTGGAGTCGGACACCAAGAACGCCAGATCTATTAATCGGTGCGGATAGGTGAGGTTCCGGAGGTGGGAAAAGAACATGGGCAGATGCGGCGTCGCATCCCGCAGCGGCGTGCACATCAACACGCGCTCGTCGCGCTCCCACCCTTGCGACGTCCCCTGGACAGTTGACAGGTCATAATACCGGACGGTCTCGAGTTGTATATCTTCGGTAGAGGAGAGGAGGCCTAGCGACAGGGCGGGGAGGATGGCAGCGCGCCATGACGGGAAGATCAGGAAGACGAGGAGGAAGGAAACACCGCCGACAAGACACAACCGCTGTATTAACTGTCTTCGCCGCCGCAGAGCAGGCTGTGAACGTGGTTGGAAGCTACCAAAATAGCAAAATGTCAGCTCGTATCCAGCGGGGAATGACGCCCGTTCTTATATCGGCTTAACTTACCGGTGGGGGGAAATGGAAAAGGCGCCGCTCTGCCCGCGAGGGTAGGCAGAGTAGCCGTTCACATAGGCCTGATGCCTGTTCATCGCCGGCTCCCTTCAACAAAGCATGTGTAGAGAGAGAGAGAGGCTTATCTTATTCTTTTTTTTTTGAGGCGGAAGTGGCCACTCCTAAACCAGGCCGCGACGCGAGGAGACCAACACTTTTATTTATCACAGATAGTCGAACGAGAAAGAGTGAAAAAAAAAAGAAAAGAAAGAAAGAATTCAAGCGAAGAATTGGATATTCGAGGGATGTTATTCAACCTAACGGCTTCTCCTAGACCAGAGACAGGGAAGCAGTTGGAGAAGCACCGTTGATGGGGGTGGGATTTACGTCTAACCAGAAGCGTGCAGGAGGGAGACTTTAATAACGACCGCTTGCAGCTGGTCTGGCATCCACGTGTCTCACTTTTTCCACGACCTCATCTGCGTCAAAAGTGACACCATCATGTCTCAGAGGGTTATAGACTGTCACTTCGGACTATCTTTTTCGCTAGAGACTATTGTTCATAGGTTTATTTGAGACTTTATGTTGATAGACACTGACAGATCTCAGATAACTACTGCCTAGGTGGTATAAACAGATTTGCTGACTACTACAGGATCAGGACAACTCAAAATCTACTCTATTATTCTACTACATAACAGTCGAGTCTACTGTACTCTCGAGGGTGTGATCCGACTCATCTCCACCAGGAGTACCACGTCGATCAGCGGCCCGTCGTGCAGCAGGATGCCGGATCCGGCTATTCTTGAGGACCTGCATTGACCGACTCAGAGCAGTACATACTGTATTCTATACCCGAGCTGGACATAAGAGACTCGTGTTAGATAGTCGGTAGATGATTCAGATGAGGAATTACTCCTCCAAGGACCGGTAGTATATACTAGTAGTTTGAATGCAGATGTGTATGCTAAGATATTGATTTTTGTATCCCATTGACCCAATTCGTCCCTTTCGTCTTGTTGTTTTTTGTTTCTAGGCAATTCGTATTACCTGACGGTAGCGCCCTTGAGGCTCTTCACCAGGCAAACACCCCCCGAGCGAGTAAGCAGCTTGCCGACGGTGGGCTTGCCCTCCTGGCTCTGCGCGACGGGGACGGCGGCGGCGTCAAAGGCAACCTCGAGGGCGTCGGTGGTGGTGAAGCCCGGCTGGAAGGTCTCCCAGACCTTCTTCTTGGGGTTGAGCACCTTCTCGGGCTCGCCGTCGGTCCAGCCGTCAAAGGCGACGCGCTCGCCGGCGGGCGCGTCCGCGGGCGGGCTGACCAGCTCGACGGGGCCGGCGTGGGTGTCCTCCTCGCCCTCGGCAAGTCGGGGGGAAGCCGCCAGCACCATGGCGGCCGACTTGATGCCACGCATGGTCACAGGCTTCAGATTGCACACCACCACCACTTTCCGGCCCTGCATCTCCGCCAGGGGCACCAGCCCGTTCAGGCCAGAGCACACGGTGCGCACCGTCTTGCCTGTCTCCTCGTCCACGGAGGTGTTGTCGGAGCCCGGCGCATCGCCGCAGTCAATTGTCGACACGTACAGCGAGTCGGCGTTCGGGTGGTTGATCGCGCGCAGGATGTGACCCACTCGCAGGTCAATCAGAGAGGGGGACGGCGGCGCCGCCGGGGCGGGAGCCGGCTTAGGCTGCTTCTCCTTCTTCTCCTTCTTCTTCTTCTCCTTGGGGGCAGCAGCAGCTGCTGCTGCTTCACCACCAGCAGCGGTAGCGGCAGGAGCGGCAGCAGGAGCAGCAGGAGTAGTGGGCTTACCCTGGCCAACCACCAAGGGCTTCTCATCAGCTGCCTTGGCGGCATCCGGGTTCTGAGCGGCAGCCTTCTCGCGCTTCTTACGCTCCTTCTCCTCCTTGGGGTCGACCGGCTTGGGCACAAAGCGGATGTCGTCGAGGTCGATGCGGACTTTTTCCTCCTCGGGGATCTGCAGGGCGAACAACTTGCCGTTCTGGACAAAGTCGGTATGGCGCACGATATGATGGTATCCCTTCTCGCCCGTGCGTTCCTCCGGCGTCCACTTCTCGACCAGCGGGGCCAGAACGGCGTAGGCAGCGACATCCCCCACCGAGGGCTTCACGCCCAGCAGAGTCGTGCGCCCGGCCAGGTGGGTGTTGAGCTGGGCGAGGATCTTGCCCGCCACCTCCGTCTCATTGTTGACGAGGGCATTCTTCAGCCCGGAGATCGTCCCAATCCATTGCTTGAGGTCTGCCTCCTCGGCGGTCGATAGCGTGACCTGAGGAAAGATCTTCGGGGTGGCGTGCACCAGGTCAGGCTCTGTCGCGTTGGCAGCCACCGCCTGGGGGTACGCCCGGTACAGCAGGGAGAGCAGGGAGCTCTGGGGAGCAGAGGCAGTCGCCATGGTTGTAAAGAGGTGGGCGGCAGCAACGGTCGCTCGCAGACGGGGGGTGGGAAAACGAGGGAGAACTTGAAGAGGGGCAAGAGTGTCGGCTCTGACTCGGAAGGGTTGAAGGCACCGCGGGGTTATTGCGGCCCGCAGAACAACCCTCACGCAACTGGAAGACGGCCTGATGGGCGACACGGTGGAGACCAGATCAGGAGATCCTCGAGCTGGTCGGGATCTCAGATATGGCTGGGAGGTTCTGCGAGGAAATTGGCTTGTCGAGTCCGCGTCTCCTTTCTCTTTCCCCCTCGTGAGACGCCGGCAAACTTTTTATGGCATAATTCATAAACGATTAGTCATCTGTGCATGCATTACTACATAGTACCGTACCTACAGCCTACAGGTAGATAACTACTAACTACTCAGTATATAGTAGTACCAGATATAACCACCTAGGTAATTAGAGTGTCCAATAGTCTAGATCTACAATGGACTAAGTCTGCATAATATGGTCTAGATTCAGGCAGAACGATCCTATAGTTCTGATAAGTGGTGGTATAATGAATGGAAGAGGCGCAGCGCTGCGTCGAAAAGGGTTTAAAAAAGAAAAAAATGACAGATCGAACGAGACGAGCTTGTATGGTTCTACTATGCCCGAGCAGCAAATCCCATAGATGGACCACGGAGGTCGAAGACGACGAACAGGGATCGTAGGAAGATGTCACCGTAGATTTGGATTTCACTGTCCCCGCTGGACTGAAGGCCTCCATAGCAAACTATAAGAAAAAGATCGTCAGAAATGTGCACTTTTTGTTTTTCCACATTTGTGAAAATCTTTTGACCTACCGGTTTCTCCTGAAGAGGATGTGCCAATCTCGCAGTAGGTAAGTAAGGAGCCGGGGATGGTGACCAGGTGTGACGAGCCCACGGCGACAGAGAGATCGGGTAGGGTAGCGGAGCAGGGATAGACGTAGCCGCCGTAGCTGTTGGAGTACTGGGCGCTGTCAACCTCGGCGTAGAAGGCCTCAACGACATCCGGGCTGGAGAGCATGAGGGTGGTGCCCGTGTCGGCGATGGCGACCTGGACATCCTCGATGGACTGCGTGTCGCCGCTTCCGATGGCGTACTCGGCCGAAGCGAACTCCCAATAGCCGTTTGACGAATCGATGGTGATGTTGGCCATCTCGCCGGTGTATTTGGACGTGTCGATGTAGCCAAGCTCGTACTCACCCGTGCCGTCGTCCGTCAGCTGTGCCGTCAGCACGGGTTCGTCCATGCTGTCAGCGGCGTTGGCAAAGAAGGTCTTCTGCTGATCGGGCGACACGGCATTGATGTTCGAAAAGGCGAAGCCCACTAGTCCGTTGGAGGCAGTGTCCTCGATGAATTCTGCGGATATGGTGGTGGGGAGCTCGACAGCCTGGCTGGTCACTGTCACGCCGCCGATGTTAACCGTGTCCGTTCCCACCACACCAGCGGCAGAGGACCCATCTCCGTAGGAGATCTCAAAAGTCTCGCCCTCCAGGAGTTCGAAAGTGCTGGACTCGGAAACCTCGAAGATGGTGTGTCCTTCCTGGTCCTCGGACGGCAGCTCCGAGCTGAACACCCATCTAGACCAAAAAATCAGTGGATGGAACGTTTTCAAATCATATCCTTGATAGACAACCTACAGGTCAGCAGAGCCGGTATCAAAGTCCATATTGATCGTCTGGCCACCAATGATCACCGGGGAGACGAACTCCGAGCCATCATCTGCGGAAGTGGCAGTGACTTCGCCCGTCTGTGAAGCAGAAGCCGAGCTGGCGGCTGCGCTGGAACTTGTAGCCTCCTTGACAGTGGCATACGGCTCAAAGTCCCACAGATCCGCACCGGATTCCTTCGTGGAAGCCGTGATGCCATACTTGCTGTACGCCTTGCGAAGAGCAGAGGCGCCATCGGCGACAAAGCCCTCTCGTCTGACTCGTTCAACCTTGTAGGAGGTGCCCTTGCGCTGCAGCCGTGCAGGTGTTGGGGCAGCAACAGTCTCATAGCTCAGGCAGAGCATGACCACAAACGAGGAAAGGAACTTCATGACTGCAGTTCTCGTTTGGCTCTCAAGAAAGATCTGTAGAAAAAAGAAGGCAACGCTGTTGCTTGGTAACTATATAACAAACTATTGCTTCCTCTAGACCAGAGAGGAATGTCGATAGAGAGAGAGAGAGAGAGAGAGAATGGAAGCAGGGCAAGTCCTGACTTGCACCTGTATAGAAAGAAAAGAGAGCAGAGAGAAAAGAATGAGAGAAAGGATCAGACACGTCTAGTGTCTCTCTCCAACAATGGCGACCTGAATAAAGAAATGAAAAAAAACAAAGTCAAGGTGGAAGAAGAAGAAAGAAACGAGAAAATGCCCATTGTATATATGAAGGAAGCCACCCACGGGCATATCCATCGCAGTAGCAGCAGCCACAAAGCAACATACTCCATACAGCTCGCCGCTTCATCTCGATGGCCAAGGGGCCCACTCAAGCGCGACAGACGGGGCAGACAACATCCCAGTGATTCCCACCCCGTGGCTTGTCATGGTTCGAAGCCAAGAGTCTGACAAGCTAGACACGGAGTACTAACTAGTTGACTAGTACACCTAGTACCGATAACTAGCACCTTACTCCGTAGGTAGATGGCTATTATTGCCTAGGGTGAGTAGGCGATTTCACGTCTCACAGCTAGACCTCTCGAAACTCTCATATCGTAAAGGCAAAAGAACAGCCTTGACGCGATTCGGTAGACAAGGAAGGCGTCATCTCAGACGCCTGGACGCGTGGCACTCCGCCTCCGCTGAACGGCAACGGAAAGCGACAATGGCAATGGAAAGGCAGCAGAGCGTACCAGATCAACGTTTCTGACCCCGCCAGGACTTCTCCCAAGAGCCGGTGACAGCCGAGTGACAGTCGTCCGGCGTCAGAGCCAGTGGCGGGCAGCAGCCAGTGTGCGAGGGCGAACGAGCTGGGCGTTGGCGCTGGTGAAACGCCCAGGGGTCGGGCGTCAGCGGTTTTGTCGCCCCCAAACCACGAATCAGCGCCATGACCGACAGGCTGCTGAAACCGGGGGGGAAATTCCGTTAAACGAGTACGTGGTGCGGCGCATGAGGTATCAAATAGAGAGCTGTTTCACGGAGTGTGGGTGTCCTGGAACTTGATGATTGCTGGGGAGGTGCGTGGAGTGTGTTGTGGTTGGAGAGTTTTGCCACACAGGAATATCTGGATAATCTGCAGAGCGAGATTTACACAGCAGGAAAGCTGCAAATGAAATTCCACAGATCGTTGGATCCTTGACTCGCTAAAAAGCTTGACGTACGCTTGTGTGATGTCAAATAGTAGAGCAATTTATCTATTATTTCTACCGGTTCATCCTGGTGGTCTAGATTAATAGTTCAACCATCGCATTAATAATAGCACTCTATACAGAATACCTATACGACTAGTTTTACTGAGGATGAAAACATTTAACCAAAACTATACATTAGAAAAGTAAAATAGTCTCGATGGTCTTTATTTCTGTCATATGTAGATTGTTCTACTCTGTAGTATAGCTTGACGTGAGCACTCGTACCTTGAGGCTTGCAGCCTTATTTGTAGGCGCTTATTTCGGGTATGTTTCGCCCTCAGGAGTTCCCAGGTCGCTTGAAACAACAGTACATCTTAATTATCCAGCTCAAGACAGGATGATACTAACTGTGATGGAGCTTCGGCTATCATTGCTGTCGAGGGACCTTTTCCACTGGTATAGTGGCTGTTTAACTGAGAGGAAGAGTATCTTAGCAGCAGCAGCAGCAGTATAAAATAGAATCCAAACTATCACATGACTCGCGTGACTCCTGACTCGGAGTCCTGAGTCCTGACTGTGAGTCATTCCTAACCACGCCGTCTATCATTCAGACCGAGAACACAACAGTACGGAGCACATAGTAAGTAGTTATCATGCAGAGTCCTATGAACTATGCAGTCAGTCGTCTCTTATCGACTCCCTAGGGCTTTCATCTTGGCAACCTGCTAATCAATCTCATCTGTACAAGAACAGGAGTCGGAACGAAGGTTCTTTGAACACGATAATCACTGTGCAATCTCCTATGATCTAAGGAGTTCAGCAGGGAGGCCTTGTTAAAAGGTTTGACAAAGATTCCTCATACTCGAAACACCCTCAACGGGGGAAATCGTCAGGAGTATATTGCCTGCCTTTGGTGGATTTAAAAGGACTACCTCACCTTCGCTGATGAATCCGCAGTCGAATGCCTCGAAGTACTGTTGATACTATACTTCCGTTTGATGATCCGAGGCCAAGCAGTGAGAACACCACATAATAACTACTCCGAAATAGACCCTTTATCCAAATACGCTCTAGCGATCTTGGCTTTCTTCGAAAACGAAGTTGATAGGACCAAAACCGTTCTTGGCTGGGGTTCGACTCCTGGCGCCTGTGCCGAGTTCTGTCAAGTTGATTTCGTATTCAGGGGGCAGGATCTCGACTCTGTGAGCAACTCAGATGTGTGCTTACGGAGTAAATGAATAGATGGCAGATATGGTTGTCCTCATTTTCCCCTCAATATACTTGATATACATTATAAACAGTGATCATCAGAATACTAACTACTAGCTACCGGTACATACTAATATCAACAGAAACCCCTAGTGGTTCGCCAGCTCTACTCTTGAGTTTCCATCTAATTCTTCCGGGGGATCCGCAGATCTGTAACCTGTCTTCGAATCCAGCTCTAGGGGAGCCGCTCTTCCTCTGGCTCTGCGCCGCCAGATGAACCAGAACACCCCCCCCAGCACGAGCACGCCCGCGACCGCGGCGCCGACACCAATTCCCGCAATCGCTCCTTTGCTGAGATTATGATTGTCGTTCTTGTTCGGCGCTGTCGTCGCAGTTGTCATGGTGCAGTTTCCGTACGCCGACTGACACCCTGTACCGCAGTAGTCGGTGCTGGAACCACAATACCCATGGCTGGAGCAGCAGTTTCCATAGACGCTACCGATGCATGTAATGGACTGGGTGGTCGAGTTGGAGCCGCAGCTTCCATTAACCGAGACAGTGACTGTCGAAGTGGAGGAAGATGATGATGATGATGACGACGACGACGATGATGAAGTACTGTTGCAAGACCCAAAGGCGCTCTGGCAGCCCGTGCCGCAGTAATCGGTGGTGTTTCCACAGTACCCCCGGGCAGAACAGCAGTTTCCGAAGGTACTGCCCAGACAAGTGACGGTTCGACCGTCGCTCATCCCGCACGACCCGCTGGTGCTGATCTCGGTCGTGTCGCTGGTGTCGCAGGTGCCAAAGGCACTCTGGCACCCGGCCTCGCAGTACGCCGACGTTGAGCCGCAGTACCCCTTTGCCGAGCAGCAGTTGCCATAAGACGAGTCGAGGCAGGTGGCGTTCGTCGCCGAGTTGGAGCCGCACTTGCCGTCGGTGCTGGCGGCCATATGTAGTGCTGATAAAAGTTCACTTCTAACTAGTTATAGTGGTTGAATAGGTAATACTGAAGTGGAGAGAATCTGGCTACATCCAGGTGCATATTAATAGTCTTACAGTCTTACAGTCTACTAGTTATCAGTTATTCTGCCACGAGTCGATCCAAATTAGACCCTTAGCCTAAGTCTGCAGGGTCTGGATGGAGCCACGGCGGCTACATCTCGTATGGAGTAGTAATAAGGCACTGGGTTATAAGAACGGGAAGAGTATCTGCTATGAATGCAGTTTCTCGGACGAGTCAACGGCTACAAAAAAAATAGAACAATTTGAGGAAAACTCAGCCGCAGGCAGACATAGCCTACTATCATACGGAGTGAACTCTGAACCCCCTTCCCCCGGTTCCAATGACTGGACCCTTAATATCCTTCCTGGCGCGCTTGGCTGATGCCCAGATCGACGGTCTTGTTCTAATGCAAGCCAAGGGTTTCACTAGTAATCTTACGCCGTACGGAGTAATGCCAATGTAGAAATCAGGTTTAGTGTTCCATTGATTGGGAATTTGTTCATATCGAAGGAGTACTCTGTATAGGAGTATTTAACCGTTGTAATTGCGGTATGCCCTATCAGATCTAATGTGGAGCGTATAGCCTTGGTTTTCTTCTGATACAGAAAAGATACTCTAATTGAATTATTATTCTATATGCTAATATCCGCATGGTAGATCTATCATTGAAAAAAAAAAAAAGAAAAATCACTCGGTCTTCTTTGCACCCTCACCTGCCAGCTCGAGGATCTTCTCGCAGGCCAACACGCGCCCCGGCGTGGCGGGTAAGGTCTTCTGAAGGGCCTGCGCCTTGGTGCGCATCATCTCTGACTCCTCGCTGGCGAGAACACGTCGGAAGGCTTCCCCCAGCTCCTTGCCATCAGGTTTGGGTGCGCTGTTCTTACTTCCCCAGACTCCGATGCCATGGTACTCGACTCGATTGGCGAAATCGTACGTGTCAAGCCAGACAGGCAGGACGATATGAGGGACTCCGGCTCTATCTATAGTTAGTTCGTGTTTACAGTATAATAGGGAGCCGCG